CCACTTTGGTTTTGCTTGACTTACATTGTTCTTATACTACGACAAGGTTTGTTGATGTCTGTTATAAAAAGCCAGAACGGAAGAAAGTCCATTTCTAGTGACAGTGGTAAAGGCTGAGTAACTCTACTGAGGTGTTTTGTTCATCTGGCTTAGATAGATGATCTCATCTAATGTTACCACTGTTTTCTGGAGGAACTGAGGAGCACTCATCTCTCCATCTGGGTGAGCCAAGCGCAGAGGGGGCAGGATGGAGAGGGCTGTAGGAACGTTTCCCATGCACCTCATTATCACCTGTGCTGCAAGAGAAGACCACTCAACTCCTGTGGTTTAAAACATATGGGGACTGAAGTGATTTACTGATTTATTGATAAGATGTAATCAACTGGCCATCAGTGAAGCATCAGAATCATTATCAGCAACTCATCAGCTAAACCCCAGTGCTAGATGCTTAAAAAATGTTGATGAGCATCTACAGATTTCTAAACATCCTTCTGTATATGATCCCTTCAAGGCCAAATTGTGCACAAGTGTGCATGCATGCCTACATAAACCGCCAGAGCACACCCCCCTGCCTGCCAGGAAGGGTGGGTTCCCCTGTTTTAGACCCCAGTGCTGGCACCCTGCTGTCCTGGCAAAGATGTTTTGTTTGCAGTGATCTCTGATCGCAGAAGGTTCTTGTGTGGCCTGTTAGTAAGCACTAGATAAGCTGTTACGTGCTGCTCCTGAGGGGAAAGCTCCAGCCATCAGACACTGGGCTTCCTGGTCCAGGGAGATCTCTGAGCCCAGTCCAACGCCCAGCATACTGGCAGAGGAGGCTGGTGAGAATCTTTCTGCTTTCCTGATGATGGGAAGAAAAGTCCTGGAAAGAGTGTCCAGGCAGATTGGCTGTCCAGCGGGTGAGGGGAGGAAGAGTCTGTTCTTCCTTTTTTTTTTCTTCAGGAAAATTGGCTGTCTAGAGGAGGGGTGTGAAGCCTGGGCTTTGTATCCTCACAGCAGGGCCTGGGCAGTTGCTCGGGGCTGTCTGGGGTTACTGGTCTGTTGGGAGGTTGTTTACTTGAGAGCAGTGGGTGCTGCGTTGCTGAAGAGACAGAACAACCCCCCCAGTGCCTGCCTGCTCCTGCCATGCCCTTCCCTGACTGTAGCCAGCCGTGGTGATGAGTCTGGAGCCACACTTTTGGCTGTGATTGCCCTCTCGGGGTACATGCCCAGGCTTGTTGAGGGTCTCTGTCAGCCCTGGCAGTACTGGAGCCTTGCTGAACCCGTGGTGGGGCAGTGAGCCCTGCTGGGGAGCCAGACCAGGGGAGGAAATTCCCTGCAGCAGGTACCTCTGGTATTTGCAATGAGGAAAGACCCAGAAGAAGAAGGTGTCCCAGGGCTGCTTTTCTAAGTGACTGCTAATGTAATGTTTTCAGTCTGTCAAGGCGTGTGTTCCCTACAGTGACAGCTTGCAGCATCCAATCATTTCCAGGCCGCCTGTGAGCTGCTTCCTTGGTGCTTCTTGCCACCCTGGGGAGCTGGGAGGTGCATGTTGGCTGCTGTGTACAGAGGCAGCAGCTGAAAGCTCAAGAACATGAGCGGATTCCCCAGAGGGTGGTGAAAGCCAGTGGCTCTGTTTTCCCTCTCCCTTAAGGCAAGGCAGCCTCAAAGAGACAAGCATCCTCCTGTGCCTCAGCCTGTGTCCTCCCCGCAGGTGGAGTTTGATCTGGGAGCACTGGAGATAGGGGCAGCTGCCCCAGTGCTTTGCCTGCTCAGATAAAAGCAGGGCTTTGGGTGCTCTCAACCTTGCTGGTGACACGAGAATGTGCCCTGCCTGCTGTCCAGGGCTGTGGGCTGTCCCCCCAAGACTGCCCTTCCTGCTCCCTGTCCTCCACAGCCCCTAGGAAGCCTTCAAATAAATCTCGGCATTTTGAAAGGCCGTTTTTCACCCCAGCCTACGTGTCAGCACTAATCTGGGGACAAACAGCCACATTTATAAGCAAAAAATAAAGACTCTGCTCCCACTCAGCAGCATAATGTGAGGGGCCATTCCTGGCATGCTGGGGATGCTGCAGGGATTCTTTACTGGACAAAGAAGGCAATTGAGGAGCTAGGTCCTGGAGGGAAGAGATGGTACATGGGAAAAGCATTGAACAGAGGGGCCTCTGAAAAGGAAACCATTCCCTGTGGAAGAGGCAGCCTCAGGCAGCCTGCCTTGCCCAGGGGAACCTGTGGGTCACCCTGCAGGCAAGAGGGGCTCCAGGGTGGCTGGGGTCAGGTCTGCTGCTCTGGTGGGAACGGCTCCTTTTTCCTTTGTGACTGAAGGGTGCTAAAGTGGAGGGAGAGGCTTTCAGCGCCTGCTGGGTAAATGTGTCTCTGGTAGCTAAAGCAGCAGTTGGGGGTGCTCACCACAGCTTTGCCAGTGAGTGACCACCACTCTGGAGTGAGGCTGTGGGTCACTGTGTTACTGTTTTGCCATCCACACAAGAGGATAGGGCAAACCTGTGTCTCAGGATTGGGTGCAGGAATGGGTAAATGCTGAGAGTGCATCCTCATTGGTGGCTTGGGGTCAGAAGGATCACTTAGACCCTGTCAGCATTATATCCTGGCCAGTTGTGCGGGATGCGGAGGAGCTTCTCTGTGTCTTGCTGACTGAGCATGAAGCACCACTTGCTCGGCCTGGAGCTGCAGCACCTCCTGTGTCTGCCCTGCTGTGCCATGACCCTGCATGCTGAGCATGCCATTGGGCAATAAAAGCCCTTTGCTGCACCCTGCCACCAGCTCCTGCACCCAGTGCCTTGCCCTGCTGCATCCATCCCACAAACTCTGCTAGAGCTGGGCCGTTTTGTACACCAGAGAGAGATCTCTGCAGAATCTGGATGAATCATCCCTGTCGGAACGTAATGCCTTTGGTGCAGCGCTGTGTTTGGTGAATCCTGTCTCCTGCTTCCACATGAGCCTCTCCCCTGGTGCCAGTACATGGTGCCTGGGTGCAGGCTGGATGGGAAGGGGCTGGGCACGGCCTCGTTTCAGTGGTCCTGGCTGTAAGGAGCAGTTACCATCCCAAGGCAAAAACCTCCAGGCAGGCCCCTGCAGCTGTGTCCTGTCATGGGATGTTCCTTAGTTGCCTGTCCTTGAGTCATAGCAGGGGTAAAACTGTGGCCCTGTAATCTCTTTCATGTGCCCTTTTTGATCTGAGTGATCTCCAGTGATCATGGCCACAGGTTCCTCTGTTCATGAGCATTTCCAAGGCTTTGGTCCTGCAGGTGTTTGCCAGGTAGGAGCCCATGTATCGTGTTGATTTTGCTCGAACTGGATTCCTGCAGTTTGTGTGTGACTGTCTTGTGGTGGCAGTCTTGGGTCTGGCTGCTTTGAGAAGTTTGTGCTGTTGTTCTCCTTCATTGCGTTTCCCTGAATCTCAGCCTGGAGCTTGCCTGCTGTTTGTGTCAGGGACCCTTGCCCTGCTTGGTGCCAGCTGTCTGCCTGCCCCATGTCCCAGCCCTTGGCTCTTCCTAAATTCCTGCCCTGCTTAGCCCTGCCACCACATTTGTCTGTTCCTGTTTGGCAGCTCTGGATCTTGGCAGGACTGTGGGGGGACGAGGTGCCTGGTGCAGACGTTTTATGCATGTCTCAGTGGAAATTAGTATTATTGATATTGACATCAATGTCATTAATATTATTAGTGCAAATTAATAACTAAAAAACCCCAACCGCTGACACGTTGCCCAGAACTTCAGGAGATCTATGTCCAAGGTACATAAGGCCAGGTTGGACACAAGGGCTTGGAGCAAGCTGCTCTAGTGGAAGGTGTCCCTGCCTGTGGCAGGGGGTTGGAACTGGATGAGCTTTAAGGCCCCTTCCAACCCAAACTGTTAGGTTATGATTCTAGGAAATTTTGCCTTTCCCTGTAGAAGCAAAGTAGCTATGAAATAATCCACAGGGTGCTGGTAGAGCTTCTTGTTTGGTGCAAGACCTAGGGCAGAAGCTTGGGGAGAGCAGAGCTTACGTTTGCTTCAGCTGGAAGCACTGAAAAACTGCTCTTTGTTGTGTGTTGTCTCATCTGGTCACAGTATGGTAAAGCAGCTCGCCAGAGCCCCAGGAATTGGCACATGCTGTCAGTGGAAGTTGCTCAGACAGCTTTGTAGCGGACCAATGGTTGGTTACAGTTATAAGGAAGTGGCACCCTATTCGCCTCCCTCAGGGTGTCGAAAGCCTATTTTCTACTGGATTTGCCTCCCCTGCATTTTGGAATGGCAAGTGATGTGAGAGAAGGAGAAGAATGGCATATGGCTTTGGAGGAGTGTGAGTCTGGTGCTATAAAAGGCAGGAACGGGAACAGCGTGAGGGGACTGGAGAGGGAACGGTGAGAAACAGAGGAGTGTAAGAGGAAGACTGTTCAGCAGAGGCACTTGGAGTCAAATTCAGGACACAGACAGCAGGAGGGTTGCTGGGGCCCTTGTTCTGTGATTCTTTAGGGCTTATAATGAAATGTAGGCACCTGCCAAAGTGAAAACCTTTTTAGGACGGTTTCCTGCTACCACATTCAAGTCATGACCCTGTGTTTGCAATAGTAGCTAAGTCCTGTCTAGAGCTCTGGGGGAACAGATTTGGCATTTGTATGTGGCATATGACCTATACTGAAAGGCCAGTTTAGACACAGTGGCTTTTAACCCAACATAAGCTGGCTGAGCAAGAACAAGACCCCTAGACTTTTCCTGGGCTGCACTGTCATGTCTGGAAGGTGATGCATCTGACCTGCTGTAAACCTTTAGAAGGTATAAGAAGGTATATTCTGATTTAACATCTTTAAGTCCTAATCTAAAGAAATCTGAATACAACCTGCATAAGGCAGGCCTAACTCCAGTGGGTTCTAGTGCAATACGTGCTTCAGGGTGCATCATCTCAGTGCCACATCTTCTTTCCCTCATATCCTCAGGCTTTATTGAGTCCTGGTCTCTAGTGCAGGTATTTGTTTGATGTTCAAATACCACTGACGGCTTACTGTGAAACACACTGTGTTTTAGCTGCTGCTCCCATGATGTGTGAAGCGGGACTGATCGCACCGGAGCCCTCTGGCCCCATGCAGTGCTATGGTGAATCGTCTGACACCTACTACCATGTGGACCGCTGGCAGAGGCTGCGCACTGCTGTCAGGAAGCTGGAGTTCTGGGAAAACTTCAACGCCGAGCTGATAGGCAGTGGCTTCTTCTCCAAGGTCTACAAGGTAAACTGACATGCAGGCAGCCCACGACCTTGTGTAAGAGCAGCTGCTGAGGCTGTGTAGATAGTGCCTTACGTGAGGAATCTGTTCCCAAATTTATTTCCTAGTCTTCATCCATCCCAGCATTCTCTAGCAGGTTGGATGAGGTAAGGGAGGAAAGGACAACCCCTCTGCACACCGAGCACATTGTCTTTGATGCACATCTCCCCTTTCACAGTGAAAAAGGAATAGGATCATCTGGTCAGTGTTCACTGATACTGTCGTCTGGCCATGCAACAATCTTGTCAGGGAGCTAACCTGGGTGCTGGATGAGATCAGGGGATATTTATGCTCTGTGTTTTGTTCCAAAAACTGTAGCAAAATATACAGAGAAAGAAAACATAAAATTAAGCTGTGGGTGTCTCCTGGAAGACCTGCCACCCACACGCTGTGGAGACGCCAGTGCTGTCACCCCTCCCCAGCTGCTGCCCTGTGATATGGTGATGCTGGGGAAGAGCAGGGGGCCTGGGGCAGGGTCAAGCTGGGAGAGGCTGCTGGTCTGTCTGCTTCTGCCTCTGCTGCCTTAGTGTCAGGAGACTCATGGCTCCCTGCAAGCCAGTGCAGGCTGGTGTGTCACCAAAATAAAATTGCTTTTCTCACTGGGGCTGTCAAGTTCCTCCCTGCATCAAGGTCTATTTGTGTGGGAGTTTGTTTAACCCTCTCTGAGCAAGGACAGGATCCAGGGTGCTGCTAGCTTTGCTCCTCAGCCTGGGAGTGCCACTGCTTCATTAAGAGGGAGTGGATGGGAATTGGGTCTCTTCCCTGCAGCCCTTGGCTTTGTGAACAGCAAGTGAAAGGAGATGTGTCACATTAGGAAGTAAGACTCAGCCTTCATCTCTGAAAGCAGATGTCATGTCGCTTTGCCAGGTCCTGGGACAGTGCACTAAAGCTGTTCAAGGGAAATCTCCAGCCAAAGGTGTGTGGCAGCTCTTTGCACACTAGAGCAATGCATGACAAATACCTCTTCCCACTACAGCCTCCTTCTAGTATTTTCTTTCCCCACCTACACAGCATGCTGTTGCTATCACTTTCTCCTTTATCTAGCAGATTTTCATAGTAACAGTTGCTGTTTCCTCTGTGTGTGACATTTTCCTCCTGCCCTGGCAGTGAATGAAATTCCAGCAGTAGGCAGGCTGGAGACGTGGATCTTGAGTGAAGATGAGATAACTTCTTGAATCAGAAGCAGAAAAAGAAATGTAAAAAAAAAAAGTTTGAATGAAATGCTATGGGTCAAATAGTCAAAAGACAGTGGAGGAGGATTTGGGACAAGGACTGTCCTTTGTGGAGACTTGACATTTGTCTGGATACTAATGACCGTAATCAAGTGCTCTGATGACTTGTCGTCCTTTTGGGTCAGCCACTCCCCTCTGGACTCATAGCCCTGAACACCAGAACTCCTGCTGCGAAGCATCACTGGCCATGGTCCTTTGAAGCTCTTTGCCAACAGATAGTGTCTTCCAAAGTGCTCTCTCAGGAAGAACATAGGTTGATTCCCCGTGGTGCTGGCACTGCCTGTGCTGGCTGCCTGTTGCTTTTGCTGTCCTTTTTCTTTTGGGTAAGCCAATTCTCAGGAGTTATATGTGGCTTGGCTGAGAACTTAGTTCTACTTGGTGACTCAGACTCAAGAGGTCTTGGCACAGCCTTCTGCTCTATGGGTTATGTATTGTATGACCTGGGCACAAGGTACTTTCTCTTTTTCTCTTAGTTTTCAGATGTGCAATAGGGAACTGTTTATATATGAATATATGTTGTCTTAGAAGAGGCCTTCTGAGCCCGTTACCTTTGCCTATTTCTCCCACTACTGGTTTTGGGGTGTAGGTCTACCCTTGCTTTTCAGTCATTTCTTTTCCACACCAGGCTGGACTTTATGTTGCCCTGTGGACAGGAACCCCTCCAGTGCCTACTGACTCTACCAGCTTGGGCAGTGTAATTATGAACTCCACTGGTGTCCAGCTGGGACATGCAACCTCACCTAAAAGCTGAGTGTAGCTCAGAGTCTCCACCAGAGTTTGTGCAGAGCTAGTAGGTCTCACTGAAACTCAGTATTAGCTCTTCTGAAAGTTTTTCAGATCTTCCAGATTTCAAATGCTCCCTGTACTCTGTGCTGGGCATAAGGGCACTCACAGAAATGATTGATAGCATCCTTTATATTTACATCTGTGCAATTACAATCAGTTACATCTGGTCGGTGACCTACATTCTGTGGCTGTGAAGTCCCATCAGGTGAGGGGTTCAGAGCTCTGGCTTCCTTATGACCTGCTTGAGTTATTCCAGTGATAACATTGACTACTAGGTTGAGTTCCTTCAGAAAGGAAGCAGCAGTTCATGTTGCTGAAGGCAGTTTGCTTTGTGACCCTGATTATAATGACCCTTTCTGTCCTTTCAGCCCAGGTAAGTCTAACATGCTGCTCTTTGTTCCCCTCAACTGAGTTGATAACCTTATCTGTAAAGTGATCCATAACAGAGAGCAATGGGTGACAATACTCTTCCCTTAAAACAAACAAACAAAACCCCACAAACATCAAAATGAGAGAAGATTAGACATGTGGCTGGATTGTAAGGTAGGGGAAAAGCATTTTGATTGCTGTTCTTTAGCTTCCAGTATTCCTGCCTGGGGGAAGCTCTAGGAGTGAAATGTCTGGTCGTATTCTATAGCAGGGGTTCAGGTTAGCATGTGGCTAGGAAGCAGACATGGGACCTCCGTCCTGGGATGTGGGGGAGAGATGAGCTGACTCTGTGCTTTCTTTGTTGGGTCTGTCTGGCAGAGCCTGGGTGGAGGGGAGCTAGCCATGGGCCAGGGGTACAGGAGGAATTGGGGATGGGGAATGTCACCAGCAGCTGGGGCAGTGATAAGGCCCAGCTAGGAAGGAATGATAGAGATAGGGGGGCAGATTGTGTTTGGGAAAGGACATTGAATCAAGGCATTAAAGGGGAGAACAGCTTTGTGGTAACCCAGGGTGGGCTGAGAAACTCCTCCCAAGAGCCCAAGAACCCACAAATTTTGGCAGGGAAATAGTGTTGTGATGTGTTGGGACAGGAGGGATGTAGCTGTCCGCAGCCACCCACGCAGGCATCACTGGAGTGGAGCTTATGTGGAAGGGAGAGCACCTTGCGCTTGTGCAAATAACTGTGCAAAAGCTCTGGGCATCAGGGAAGTGAGGTTCAAGCCTTTGGTTGGGACTGGATGCTGTTCTCCAGAGGGGCTGGCAGACCTCTGGAAGCTATGAGGCGTCTTGCTCTAAATTTGGCTCCAGGTGACCCAGGCTGCTGCTTCTAAAGTGATGGTGGTGAAGATCTACAAGAATGATGTGGATCAAGAGGTGATTGTACGTGAGATCAGCCTGCTGCAGAAGCTGTCCCACCCCAACATTGTCAGGTGGGCACATCCTCCAGCCACGAGCAGTGGGCACTGCCTGGGGCTGGAGTTGGGTTGGTGTCTGTAAGGCAGTTCTGCAATGAGGGATTGAGCTGAACCTTGATGACTTCTTTGCTTTTTTTTTTTTTTTTGGTGTGTTTTGCTTAGGTACCTTGGGATATGCGTGAAGGATGAAAAGCTGTACCCAATTCTGGAGGTAAAGATTTCTAGCTTGTGAGTGTGCTGTGAACAGGCAATGACCCTGCAATTCTTTGGCAGGGAGGATGGCAGATATTCTATAATGCATACCTACACTTCTCCAACTCATGTGCTTGTGAGTGGCTCTAGACCAGCAAGATTGCCCTGGAGGAGCTTCTGTCCTTTCTCCTCCACAGGTGGTCACGCTCACTGCAGGGCCATGAGATTCAGGCAGGATAACCAAAACGTGTTTCAGGTTGGATTGGTACCACCAAAGGGCCAGAATGGGCCAGATGGCAGGGAGGAGGCAGGAATAGAAAGTCAAGCAGACAGTGGCAGAACCGCCATGGTGGCTCTGGAATGGTGGTGTGGTCTAATGGAAAAGCCTGGGCTGGTACTGGCAAGGTCTCACATTGTTCCTATGCTGTTGGTGGCAGATGGCATTCACTGAGCTGCTGCTAGGCTTTTTCCCTCTAGTTTGTTGCCTGTGAGGGAGGACTGCATCTGGCTTGTACAGCGTCCCTGTAGTGGGGCAGAGCCCAGAGACAAGTAGTGACTACTTCTGCCAGGAGGGGTATTTGCACCATACCACACACAGGGGCCCCTGCACACAGTGGTATCCCAACCTTCAACCTGAAGGAGGGATTCTTGGGAGCTCCAGCAGAGCTTGTGCCCGGCCACACAGCCACTGCTTTTTGTTTGTGTTCCACAGTATGTGAATGGGGGTTGCCTGGAGGAGCTCCTGGCCTGCAAAGACATTGCTTTGACATGGAAGGAAAAAGTGGACTTAGCTTCTGACATCACCAGAGGCATGATCTACCTGCACTCCAAGAACATCTACCACCGAGATCTCAACTCCAAGGTATGCACTAGGAAGGGGACATCTCCTCTGGACTGCTGAAGTTGATTGTGTAGAGGACCCTTTACGGAGGTAACCATGAGGCCTGAGGCCTCACACTGATCCTCTGCTCTATGCTAATCCCTCTGCAGGCAAGAAAACTTTCTTGATAAAACCCATCATTACATTGCATTCATCACTTGGCAAGCAGGACACCCATATAGAGATAAAAATAATTACTCCTAGTGCAGTTGCTTTCAGCAAAGAAACAGATGGAAATGCGTGCAGGATGGCACATGGTTTTCTTTGCCTACAGTTGCAAGAGAAGCTCTTCCAGATTTAGAGTTTCCTGCTCACAGAAAAGGGGAAGCTGTTGCTAACAGGAGCTCGTCATGGGCTCTAGGAATGAATGCCATGTGAGATGGTCCCCGTCTGTGTGCAGAGCACCAGGAGATGTGTGTTTCCTCAAGTGCAGAGAAGTTGTTCTTCCTTGGTCCAAAGGGTCCACATCACCAATTTTAGGATGGTCATCTCCATGGGTCTCGGTAACTCTGCAGTCTGGCATCTGGAGACAGGCTTTGGGTGTAACACAAAGGTACATCATGTTCATGATGTATTAGCCCTGTGCCCGGGTGGCTGCTTTTCTCAGCATGGGCTCATGCTGCTCGAGGGAGGCAGGAATGAGCACTGGGGTTTGCCATTGTAAGGTTTGTCCATGGTGATGGGCTATAATGTGGCTCTTCCTCTGCTACTGGTATGGCAGTAGGAACATGGTGGGACAGTGCCTTGTTGTTTTGTCTTGGACAAACTACCCAAACCTCAGGCAGATCTGTAGCATGTCCATGATACCACAGGGAATGTGAGCTGAGGGGCTGGCCACCAGCCTGGGCCATGTCTGTGTCAGCTGATGCCAGAGGCTGGCTTAGTGGCTCACTGAAATGGAGCCTGCAAGTCCTTGCAGTTGATGCTGAGTAGGTAGTGGGGTATGTCTTCAAGCTGTTCTTGTTGGTGCTCAGTGAGATTTTTAAGAAAAATGTGAAATATGGATGAAGGTCAGCAGTGGGGAAGCCAGTCAAGTGATACAGTTTTGAGAGACGTCAGCACAGGAATAAAACTCACCTATGTATTCTCAGGCTGTTTACTTGGCTCAGTTACCAGGCTGATGACAAGGCAAGAACCTGGTTCACTCTGACCATAGATTTCTTGGCCAATGTGCTCTGAAGTCAGGTGAGATGTAATTTCCTGTTTGGTGGTGACTGGTGAGCTCAGGAGCTTTCCAGATCTGCTTGTACAAAGTGCTAGAGGTGCCTGCCTGTCCTTTCTGTCTTGCTGTGGAGGAACCCCTGGAAGAGGTTCATCCTTCCCCAGGGAAACCTAAGAAACCTGCAGATGGCGGAAGATGTGGGAGAGATGTGTGTACATGCTTACCTGAAATCTAGTTTTTGAGTGAGAGCCATCTGCAGAAAGCTAGTTCCCTGGGAGCAGATGCTGAGGAGGAAATCCTGGGAACCTGAACAGGCTGAAACTGATGGGGTTTGGGGAAACTTTATAGGAATTCCTCCAGAAAGCAGTGTTAGGGGTGTGTAGCCATGGGTAGTGAGAAGTGTTGTGGCTGTGATCCTGCCACAGCTGAAGGGGGTCAACATGCAAGATTTCGAGGTCTCCTTCAGAGAAAAGGATGTGGATCATGTTCATTGAATAGCTTCTTCCAAGTACCTTTCCTGGCTTCAGATGTGATTCATTCATCCCATATCTGCTCTGTGCACTCCAGTTTTGCTGCTGGGATGCAGGTCTCTGGTGAGGGGAGGGCCTGCAATAGCGAGGTTGGGCCAAGGGTTAGTGAGGTGCTCCTCAGTGAAGTGCCCAGGCCCTTCCTCAGTAGGCATCTCATGCCATGTCCCACTGGCTCCTTTTAGAATTGCCTCATTCGAGTGACGCCGCGGGGCCACGAGGCACTGGTGACTGACTTTGGGCTGGCCAGGGAGGTAGTGGAGCTGCCTGTGAAGGACGTGGAGAGGAAGCTTTCTCTGGTGGGCTCAGCTTTCTGGATGGCTCCTGAGATGCTGCGGGGAGAGCCCTATGACCGGAAGGTATGGCACTGCTTCCAGCTCTTTGTTCATTCCCAGAGCCCCCAAGTGAGCGTTGGAGATTTCTCTTCTGCTTGCTGGTGACATGTTCCAGCAGCAGAAAAGCCTTTCCCTCCTTCCCTGGGAAACACTGCCTCTGCTACCTGGACCTTTACTCAGTAATGTTTTACTTAGTAACTTGCAAGTTTCTTACGTGGCCTTGTTAAGTTGAACTTTTTGGAAAATGGACTGCTGCTGTGGACAAACACAGTGAAGCCTCTCTGAGGAATATGCTTGGTGAGTTACAGCCCCATGAGCCTGTTGCAGGATCTGGGGCAGAGAGCCAGAGCTGTGGTAGGAACACCAGACATATTGAACAATTGAGCATGGGACCAGGCTTTCCAAAGATGAGGTCTTTCTGGGTGGGTTCAGAAGCCCAGAAGTTTAGGAGTTTGCTGCCTCTGAGTCTAACATTTGTGGGGTTTTTTTTGAGGACCTTGTTGGTACTCCTTTTTCTTACACTTTGCTTCTGTGCCTGTCCTGTCCCACCTCCCATTCTTTCACCCCTTCTGCAGGTGGATGTGTTTTCCTTTGGCATTGTCCTCTGTGAAATCCTGGGCAGGATCCCAGCTGACCCTGAAGTGCTTCCCAGGACTCAGGTAATGATTCCTGCAGCCAATCTCAATTGTGTTGTCTCCATAGTAGCAGACTGTGGTTTCACTCTGGACCAGACAGACCTGTACACATGTGTATGTGGATCACACTCAGGCTTCTCTCTAGAGGTTTTCCCATGATAAAATCTGATCTCAGAATTTTCAGTGTACAAGAGTTCAGTGTACCTGTAGTTTCAAAACTTATGTTAGATCAACAGTTTCAGATTAAGTACTTCCTTTTAAAGACCTTAATACTAAATACTTCATTTTGCTTTGACATTTCAGCTTCTACATTGAAGTGGCAGGTTAAATGCAACTTTCATCCCATACACTTATTTTCCAATATGCTGCAGGTAATTCACAATTCATGTGGAAACAGCAAGCTTCCCTAAAAACATGTTTTTTTAATGTTTCAACATTTGCAGCGTTTCCCTTCTGTAAAGTGGGAAGGGAAAGTTTATCCTGAACAGGGATGAAAAACCCAGCAGGAAAACAGCAAACTGCTGCTTTCCAAGGAGCAAATGCAAAGAACCTGCAGTGCCCAGAGATTATTCCATGTTGTCCTGGGTTTAGCAGTAGCAGTCAATTTTTCTCCTTCATGGTAGCTGGTGCAGTGCTGTGTTTTGACTTCAGCCTGGGAACAGTGCTGATAATACCAGTGTTTTCAGTTGCTGCTCAGTCATGTTTACCCTGACCAAGGACTTTGTGCGGCTCATGCTCTGCCAGGGAGGAGGGGAAGCTGGGAGGAAGCAGAGACAGGACACCTGACCCAAGCTAGCCAAAGAGGTATTCCATACCACAGCACGTCATGCCTGGGGGGGTAACTGGGAGTTACCCAGGAGGACACAGGCTTCTGGGTTGGACTTGTTTCTGAGCGGGTGGTATTGTATTCTCTTCCCTTGTTATTTTCTCTTATCATTGTTGTCGTTGGTGGTAGTGGTGGTTGATTTGTGTTGTACATTGGTTGCTGGACTGTTCTTGTCTCAACCCGTGGGAGTTGCACTCTTTCGATTCTCCTCCCCATCCCTTCAGGAACGGGGAAGGGGAGAGCCCACGGGGCAGGGGGGGCCTCGATTGCTTCCAGCCTGGCACCATTCACTGGGAGTGAGTGAACAAGCTGTCTGGCTAGGGTTTAAACCACGGCATATGTTTCTGTGAGACTGAACAGGAAATAATGCTCTATCTGTGTTAATGAGATGAAGGAGAATTATATATCATAGTAATGATACGTAATGATGTATGGAGGGGCAAAGCTGACTGCTGGCTGGACCCCTTCGACTCTCGCTTGCTGTTGGAAGACCAGATTGTTTGCAGTTCCTGTCCTTGGCAGCCACTGCTCAGCACCTGGTGCTGGTTCCTCTTCTGGTTTTGCCTTTTGTGGCTCTCGTTGCCTTAGTCTGAGCTTTTCCAGGAGGACACATACTGCCTGGACAGGGATAGCACAAATCAAGCAAAAGGATGCTGCAGTCTCCCAGCTCTGCTAATGGTTTACTATCTGTGCAGTCCTGGCAGAGCTGATGTTGTCCTGGTACCTTTGCATAGCCGTAAGTAAATTAGCTGTGATGGAGACTCTAAAAGCTTTAAACCACGAGTATTTTATGCTTTAACACTTTGAGAGGGATGAAGAGTTTTTAAAGGACATTATAGTCTTTTCTATGTACTCTTTGTCCTTCCTGACAGGATTACGGCTTGGATGTTGCTGCCTTCCAGGGGATGATCAGTGAATGTCCCAAGCAGGTGATGGACCTTGCTGCTAGATGCTGTTGGGTGAGATTCTTGCTAGTTTGTTTTTCTTTTTCTTTTTTTTTTTCCTGTTTTGGTTTTGTTGGCTTTGTATCACACTTGTGTAGCAGAGACTAAACTTGTGAGTCGTGGAGAGCTTCAACCTGCTGTTCTAGGTACAAGCACACAGGGCTCTGCTGTAAGCTGTGAAGTGATGAGATCTTCCTTTAATGCTTTAATTCACCCTGCAGTTTGCTGGTAGGAAAAGTGTATTGTTTGTGGATTAGAGCCCAGAACATCCTAAGGTCCTGCCTGTTCCCTTGCATGTCAAATATAGAGTGGGAAGCATATTGCTGGTTTTCAATCCCTCCCTAAGCCAGTCTGCAGGCAGAGGCACCTGGCTGATTCTCTCTGGAGAGTACTGTCTTGGTATTAGTAGCCCTGGCATTACAGATATCATCAGGGCATATTCCTCCAACCTTTCTTGCTTTAGCATAGAAGTTAATGGTGAAAGATGAGGGGTGCCTCCCCATGCTGTCCAAAGCCTCAGGAGATAAAGCAGAGAGAAAGTGAGGATCCAAGATCATCTCTGAGAGGAAGAGAATCACAAAGACAGTAATCAGGCAGAGAGTGGATGAGCTGGGTGACTGTAATGCACCTAACTGCTTGGAGCTCAAGGCAGCAAATGGAAGTAAATCCTTGCATGGGGCTGGAGGATGTGTGAACAACTTGCCCTGAATCACAGGAGGGATTCACATCAGGAACTAGCTTAGATATACATGTGTTCAGATATTGTATCGCTGAGGGGCATCTTTCTAATGCAAGTTGATATAATAATGGGCTTCTGCCAGAAATGGCCTTTGAGGCTGTTCTTCTCAGCCCTTGTGTGATGTGCAGGTTTGGAGAGTTTCTGGTGCAGCTCCCCAGTCTGGCTTCATGGGGTCAGGCATAAAGGGCAGCCTGGGGGGCATGGATTGAGGTGCAGGATAGGGGTGTCCCTGGCCATGTCCCTCACTTTGGGTACACCCAAAATACACTGGGGGATCACAGCCCACTGAGAATGAACTGCATCAGGGAGACAAGACAAATCCTGACCTTTGTGAAAAAACTTCTGGAATAATCTAACATCCCCTTCTGATACCTACCTGCAGCCTTTCCTTGCACAACACCTGCCCCTACACTGTTTGGGTGGGCATTTCCCACACCCTGTCCAGGTCATGGTATGACAGGGGATTGGAATTTCATGATCTTTAAAGTCCCTTCCAACCCAGACTGTTCTGTGATTCTATGATTCTACATCAGGCTGGTTTTCAGCATCTCACTGCCTCTGCTTGAGCTGTATCATACCATGGAACCTTTTCTGCACCTGCTTCTTTGCAGCAGCCCAGGCCTGGATCACCAGGTGATGGTGACAGAAAGCTCCATCAGCAGCCATGTGACCCAGACCACTGCTGACGATGGATGGATGGATGCCTTTGCCCAACCTTGGGGAGCCAACAGAGCTGCTGCAGAGCAGCTGCCTCCATTCCAGGGTGTCCTCTTTAGCTTTCTCTTCTCATTCCAGGTGGAAGCATTTAAGAGACCATCATTCTCCGAAATCCTGGATGAGTTGGAGGATGTCATGGAGAGCCTGGAACCTAGGAGGGACAATCTGCTTTTGGGCTGAGCTGCATGCCTCCTGTGAAGCTTGGCAAAGAATTGCCCAAACTGTAATTAACTGCCTGGGGGGGTCAGGAGTGAAGAAGAAAGGTGGGAAAGGGCAGAGCTAAGAGATGTGCTGGAATTTATTTAATCACAGACTTGGTCTCTAATTTTTTGGATGGAAAACAGGGTTAAAAATGGAGAAGGGACTTACCAAGGGTATATTTTTCCTAGCTAAATTTTTTAACACGTGTAATTAGGACACAAAGCAGCCTTTGTCTGTTTGCTTGTTAAAACCAAATGATCCTGGAGGACCCTGAATTCCCTTAAGGATGCTTTCCGATCCATGATAGAAACATTAACCTCTCCTGCTTCCCTGTGGCCCCTGGACCCAGGGCCTTCCCCTTCTTCATCTGCAAGGCCTTGGAGGGCTGGGGTCTGGCCACGAGAAGTAGAGGGGCTTTGGGGTGCTTGGTTAGGCTTGGAGTCACCTTGTATTTCGAAGCCTTAAAGCACCCATCCAGCAGCTTTGCAGGACAGGTATGCTCTGTAAGGTCTCTGCCTGGGTCAGGGCTCACCTAGGCATGGAGGCTCTGGGCAAGGCTTTGGAGAGTCAGACAAGGCCACTCATGGGGTGCCAACCTGTGGCAGCCAAAGCAATGGGGAGGGTGTGCCTTATTAAGGTACCAACTAACATTCCTCTCAGAAAAGCTTTGTCAGACACAGCAGCCTAGATTTCTCCCAGCTGCCCTTGACTGGGGCTCAAGGATGGAGGCTTCTGCCTCCCTCCTTCTTGTCCCATTGCAAAGAGCAAATTGCCAACAGCTTGTGAGGTGAAATCAGGGAGAGCTGGATCCAGCACCACTCAGCATCTCACTAATTTCTCTGCCTCCTTGGCAATGTGGGACACCCTCACAGGCACCAGGGCTCAGGCAGCCAGGGAAGGACTTCATTTTGATACCATGTTTTCTTCTATGGGCCAGAGGATGGTGCTGGGGCTGTGAACCCCAACCAGAGGTGGAAAGAGTAACAGCTAGAAATGGTCTGATGTTGCAAATTAAGAAAAGGGGGTGAGCAATCGAGTTCCTGCCTCCAGGTCAGCTGATTGCTGGGCCATTGGTCTGAAAGACATGTTCTGCTGGGATCAAAATGTTTGTGGGTGTAAACAGGTCTAATGTCTGTCTAGTGATGGAGCTGTGGCTTTGTTCTTGTAGACTGTAAGCCCTTGGAGCAAGGATCATTCATCTGTCTACCAAAATGTATTTGTACAGTATGTAGCCAATTGGGCCTTCTTCCAGCATGGGGGCCTTCCATGCCTGGGGGCCTCATCTCAAGCTCTTGGAGCTCGATTTAGTGTCATGTATATCTAACATCTCTGTGCCATGGTGCCTGCACAAGGGAGTGTCAGTGGTGTGCTGGGAGAGAGACTTGGTGGAGGAGCATGGTGCGTTTTTAACGGGGATCATAAGGAATTGTAAGCTGTCAGGAAACACACTGAGTGGCACCAGGGTCACCACATCAGCCAGGGGGCTCTTGGAGGTATCTGCAGCTCCTCATTCCCCAAAGGTGCCATTGTGCTTTTGTGGGATACTGACTTACTTGCACAAGAAACCTCCTGCTCAACACTAAACTGCCCAGCAGATACCTTCATCTCAGCTGGATACTGTCAGTGTCAGGGAAGCAAAGCCTTGAGAAGTAGAAGACTGAAAATAACAGATGCTTTTCAACCTGGAGGAGAGAGCCACTCTGAATCGCACCAGTTTGGTGACTTCACACCAGTGGAATGAAATGGACTGCAGCATCAGTGCAGACTGCACTGATATGTATGTGTGTCTTCAGTGAGGGGTAGTGACCACCAGCATCACTGCAATGTGTTGGACGAGAGTCACAGAATGTATATTTGGCTGCCAGGAGATAGACCTGAGGAGCTAACTGCAACCTTCCAAAGCTTCACAGGCTCCCCTGGGCTCTTTTTTCATATAGGGATAGACTTGAGACTGAGGAATCTTAACAGTATGTCCTAACAACCAAAGCATTAAGGATACAAAGGCTTTTCCAAAGGCCACTATGGATGAAGGACAGCTTGTCCACCTTGGCTCAGTCCCTGGCTAGATGCATTGCTTTCACAAAGCCTTTCCTCAGCCTTCCCCACTGTCTGGTCAGTCAAGCTGCAGCCTATTCTTCCTCTGCCTTCCTCTACAAAAGAGTAGACTAAAGGAAGATCATACATACTCAACATACCAATCCCTCATATGGCCTCTTATGGGGTGGAGGTGTCTTGTCTCCCTGCAAGGCTGCTCCTCTGCTGGCCACCCCATTCCCAGGACCAGCAAGGCTTGGTGCTGGTGGTGCCCTACCAGAGACTGGGTTCATCCTTCCTCCAGCCGTATGTCTGACTCTGGTCCTGCAGAATGACAACTGTGGGACTGGGACACAGCAGAAGAGGTATGTGGAGTTGTGTGTACTTCAGTGATGCTGTGGTAGGAAGGAAGATGTTTTGGTTTTGTTTATCTGCTTGGGGGTAAGAAGCTTGCTAAAGGATTAAACAGATGCAGGGGTGTGTGCGGATAATTTCTGCACAGAGCACACACAGCATTAGCCAGCACAGTTTGAGCTGTAAGGATTGTGTTTCTTCTGGATTTGCCATGTGCCCCATCCACTCTCATGACGGGGACATACTCTGGATCATAGATGACTGAAGGATATCATGTCCTTGCTAGAAGGACCTCTGGTACCTGCTGCAGGAGCAGGTGGCACTGAGACTTTCTGCAGGCACCATGTGGACTAGCAGAACCAACTGGGGAGCCTGCAAAGAACAGAAGTGGTCTGGGAACTTGCCTAGTTCATCTTATGGGCTAAGAGTTTCTCTTCACTGGTGAGATGTGAGCATGGGAAACCTGCTGAGATGCCCTCCGGGTACAAGCCCCTGTGCTGGGAGTGCAGGGCCTGACTTCCCCATGCCAGTCTGATGCAAAGACCAGGTCAGTGGTTGAATTTCATGTCTTGGGAGTCCTGGCACTGAACTGAAGTAACTGTGATGGTCGGTGGAGGTTCCAGGATAGTGCAGCAGGCTCCCCTTTGCTGGACCAGACCAGGAGCCTTTGCCTCTTCCTTCTGTTGTCCACTTGCTGTGCAGGTGGCTGATGGCGTGGACCTGGCCATGCTGTTCCCCATGGGCCATGGGTTCCTACATTCTCTGTTGTTTGTTTGCTTTTATAAATGCTATTTGGGAATAAATTCCAGTGGGTCTTTTCTACATCAGCCCTGGCTGCTGTGTTTTAATCATCCTGGGTCTGCTGAGTGGTGCTGCCGAAATGTCATGTTTCCAAGCAGAGGCACCAAACACAACTAAATGAACAGCTTTGTGCTCTATCAGCCTGGCATAATAAACCTTTAATTAAAGTAACTTACAGAAGAGTATTACCCATGACAGAGTGGTATTCTGAGTATCTTGGTTTGTGGCAGGGTCAGCTGGTGTCTTAAGTCACCCCTTCACTTCAGTTGGGTGGGCACAAGGTAACAGCAGAAGCACAAACATAGTGCAAAGGATGTAGGATTCATCTTTTCCACCCCAGCAGCCTGTAAGCCAAAAGGACCAAACGCAGTGAAGCGATTTCCTGTCCCCGGCTGCAGCTTGCTTCATGCTGACTCACACGTGGCCATTAGTTACTCTTCAGATGCAATGCTCTCAACAAGGACACCTCAGAAAATCTGAGGAAGTTATTCACAATGCCAGGACCACCAGGTCTGCAGCCTCCAAACCCAAATCCTAGAGCAGTGCTGAAACTCAGTTCTCTGAGCAACTCTCATCAGTGTTAGGTAGGAAGTTATTCGGAGAAATCACCCAGAACTCGCCAACAAAGGTTTCAAGCTGACAAGCCGGTATTCTTTATTGTGGCGCCGGGAGACACGGGGGATAGTTCCCCTAGCGTGTCTCCCCGAATTGCTAAACAAGCTGTCCTTCTATAGTCACTAAGCATACATATTCATTATGTACATACATGCATATTCATGAGGCTGCGTATGGATTACATCATTCTTCCAGAAAGTTTCCCCACATGCGTACAAAAATGTGGTGCTGGTCTCTGAGGGTCATTTACTTCTTCCAACAATCTTCATCACTTCCGGCAGCCTTTGAAGCACATGCAGTAGATAATGCATACACCAGCTTAATTGGTTCTTTAACACTGCAGACATAGCAATCATCCTGTCCTTCTACTTATCAGTTAGTTTACCTGCAGCCCATCCTGGACATCTGCTAGTTTCAGATACTCTTTATCTTCGCGCCCTGTTTTTCTATCCTATTTTCTTACACTTATTTTGTACTAAGGTCATAAGGACCTAAAACTGCCAACTACAAGGGTTTATCTTATACAAGGATTCTCATTATGTTCTCTAACTGCACTCTGTATTTTTTTTTCTTCTGTGAAACATGTACCTCAGCTATTTTCCATTACTACTGTTACAAAGACATCAAACTTAACATTGCTTAGAACTAATTCTACTTATTTACAAAGGTTTGTATTTAATTTTGTGCCTCCTTGTCTCAGAGGAAGACCTTTCATTCCAAAGTCCAGTTTCTTGGAGTCAGTCAGATTTCAGATTTACAGCTGCGAAACCTCTGGGCACTTGCACATCGCCAAAGTACTGTGTTCCTCCTTGGAAAGAACTGTATTGCAGCCCTTGGAGGCTGCCAGCAATCACGTGGGTGGTTCAGACTCCTGAGTCTTCCCATGTCCCAGACAGTGCTGGAGTGCATTGCTGGAGGCAGCCTCTATCTGGCCAGGAGACTGGACTTGGTGGGACTTGAGGACTAGTTTGGCCCCACTTTTGCTTTCAGATGGCTGTGCATCAACAAGCCATCAGAGATGCTGCCAACCTCTTATCATGTGTGTGGCTCCCTGATATTGCAGAAACCATGTCCTCTCCCCACACCTCATAGCCTGGCTCACCTGCTCTGCTGGTGACTCCTGCAGCCTCACTTGTCATTATTTGCAGCAAGGGAAATGTCTGGAGAAGCTCCAGGGACGTTGCAATTTCTAGGTTTCAGAGTTGTCCCTTTCTGTGTCCTCTGATGAGCAGAAGAGGATTTCCAAATACAAAATTTCAAACTCAGAAAGAGCTTTCCAGGACAGAATAAAAAAAGCCTTGAGATGAGCAGTGGTTGGGAGCAGTCACAGATTGACTGGGACTATTCTTGGTTTTCTTCTGGGGACCCTTGGCAAAAGGAAAAGCAAGAGGGACTGGATGGTATCCTGACAGTTTGGGGAGCATATTATTTAGGACATCTCAGGTCTGTTCCCTGCCTCTTCCCCCACTGGTCAGATGTGAAAGCTGATGGGGGAAGGTGAGAGTGCCAGGCTGGTGGTATGTGTATGTATCTAGGGAACTGCATCCTGACCTTAGAGGTTCAGTTCTTCCTGGGTGGAGTCACAAACCTTCTCTGACTGCTGCAGGCATGGTGCCTGAAATGGACAATCAAGCCCAAGGACCCTCTCCCCCACATGCCTATATCAGCATAGGAAGCATTTTCCTGCCTTGAAGTGGTTTGCCAACCCATGGTTTACTGCACCAGCTTAGGGGATGCATGAGAATTTCACTCTGCAGCCAAGCACCTAGCACTGGTGATGGTTTGTCATACCTGAATATTTCCTCCATGGAGTTGGATGGCGGTCTGGGGATGTCAACTAGATGGGTTTGTGTGAACTGATCTGGGTGTCCTCTTAATCCCTGTAACATTGGTGTCCTTCACAGATGAAATTTAAATGTTGAAGGTTTCTGTGTAGTAGGAGGAGAAGATAGAGGGGAGCAGAGAAAGGGTATTCAGCACTTTTAGCTAAGTTAAAACTGACTGTCAGCACCAGCTCTTCCATCTCTGCAGAGGAGTCTGTGCTTCTGCAGAACTGGCACCTTGGGCATCTCTGAGACAACATCAGTGGCTGATTGGGTGAGGCACAGCTGGACGCTTGAGACCTTGCTGCTGCTCCTGCTGAGGACGCATCAAACTGACTGAGAGTAAGAGAAAAACAAAACACAGCTCCTGGAGAAGTAAGCAGGGACAGGGCCTAGTGAATAGGCCTCAGATTTATTTCTTAGCACATCGTTGACTGGCTCTGGTGTGCTGGATGAGTGACCTCTGCTTTTCTCAGCCACAAAGTCTGGATTCAGTATTGTAGGGCTGTAGCTGCCATTGCTACACACATATGCAATATCTGTGTGATAAACCTGGGTCCATTAGGAACATACACAAATAAATACTCTGCTTCCACTGGCTCTGGTCTGTCCCTGTAGTAAGGAGATAGCACCAAGCTCTCCTCCCCTATGGAGGAGGAGTCCAGGAAGAAGAGCCCCTTTAACCAGTTCTGCTAATAGGCAAATACAACATCACAGTAACTATGAACTGCCTCCATCTGCCAGCAGATAGCCCATCTTCAAATGCCGCTGGAAAGAAGGTGAAATGGAAGATACTGGCACATCCTGGCAATTTACATTATGTTCACTTGTGCAAGGCTTGACTTGGGACTACTGTAGTGTCCTGGTACCAAAAATACTGCTGGACAAACTTCTGTATCCAGTTCTTGGTCCACAGTGGCTAAAGAATGAGATCTAGAAATGTGCCCTGGAGAAGTTGTGTCATGGTGGGAAGTGCTGGGCAACACTCCTGTGGTTCCAGAAGCTGAGGTCCTGAAGCATGGATTTTGTGAGGCAGTAGGGAGAGAAGGAGGCAGGTGGCAGTGCTGACAGCCCTGTGCTGGAAGCTCAGTTCTTTCCATGCTGGTTTACATCGTGGCTCTGTCACAGCCAGCAGAGAGAGAGCAGGGGGCTGTTGGGTATTCAGTGCCTTTCGTATGGCTCTTGGGTTCAACAGAAAAACAGGCTGCAAGAGCACTGGAAGCTTCATGTATGTGGAAAGACTCAAAATTGCCAGTAATCACCGTTTAGAGTGATAATATCTGAAAGTTTTACTGAGACGCTGTAGCCTCACCATCACTTTAAATCAAGGCAATGCACTTTTCAGAAAAAGATGCTCAGGCTCAGTCAGCATTTGTGGGGCTGCTGGGGATAGTCCATGGTGAGAGTTTTATGCTTACAGGAGTTCAAATCAGCACCAGTCTTTTGTGGTCTCTAAAAGTCTGCTCTAGCCTGAAGGCACAATCTGTAATATCCATCCTGGTCCAGTTTTGCCCTCAACATTGTTTTGTGCCTACTCTAGGCTGTTAAATGGCACCTGATGGTGGTAGTCAGACATTCTCTTGCCATGTTAAACTGGCCTGAATTTCATTTCTGTTCGCTTATGGGAATAATGGTATTCTTTGCCTGTCTTCCAGTTGATGCCATCAGCATAGCTCCCGTGAACACCCAACCAGTACATCCCATTCAGGTTAGAGTAATGGCAGTCGTTGTACCACCATGCTCCCTTGTATTCCATCGCACAGTTAAAGGAGCTCATGTCATTGTCCTCATCTGTGGTTGAAAATGGCATGTCCTTGTGGTATGATAAGGAGTCTCCTGCAGAGAATACACGTTCACAGTTACTTCAATAGAGAGTACAAAACCTGACATGTCTGAGCACCACTGCAAGGCATCAGTGGGCCTTGCTGGATGCGAGGCAGATTTTATAAATCCTGCTGTTCTCTTGGTTGCCCAGGTTTCCTTCTTGGTCCTGCAGAAACAGACCATCCTGAGCTCTTCCAGGACTGCTAAAGCACAGAGAACGTATCTATGCTTCCGAATCAAATGGACCAGGTTCTCCTCACTGTTACACAGGAATCACTTCTCTTGCGCTCAGCTCACTTCTGTTGCTCAGATTCTCTGCAGACATCCTGAGGTCTGGACTATCAGACAGAGTTGCAGTGTACAAAGCCATATAAACCCAGAACATTGCTATCTCCTGTGTTGGTTTCACTCGTTTCTGAATGAGGGGTATTGAATTTTGGCAAGGATTTGTTTGTTTTTTAAAGCAAAGCAGAACATCAGGCATTAAAAGGATGCAGTGCTGATGCACTGGGATGCTAACAGCACTCCAGCCCTGGAAATGCAAACCTTGTGTGTAAATATTTCCTTTTAATATAACTGTAAGGAGAACTTGGCCCAGCTGTTGCAGAGCTGTTGGGAAGGTTACGTTGGATGAGGTGCTGCTCAGGATCAGGCTCCACATTTGCTGCTAAACCATGTGGCTGGGCTTGTAGGTCACACTCCTGTGGGTGAGGGGGGTCCCTGTCCTTCCCTCACACAAAGGTCACTCAGCACCTGAGGTACCATGGCCAGTTTTAAAGACTGACCCAAAATGTATATGGTACAAGGAGTTTATATAATACAGCTCTCCACCATAAATGCTGAACACCTCTGAAATGGTCTAGAAAACAGCATTTCCCAGTGTGCTGCTGCTGACTTACCAGCATTTCCACCAAGGAAGTCTCCTAGAACCAGTTTATATTTCTCAGACTCTCCTAAGACTCTGAATGAAGAGTATTTGGCAAAATAGTAGTTGTTTTCAAAGTCTCTCAGGTCAATGCGGAGTTCAGAGAGTCCTAGAAGAGAAGATGGACAGCAGTGGTGCAGGGCTGATTGGTGACCACACACCTGGATTTCAGGGTGAAGGGTTTAAGAAGCTCTGAGCTAACAAGAAAGTTGTATCTCTCTACAAGTACCTGACAGGAGGATGGAGCCAGGAGGTGGCTGGTCTCTGCTCCTAGTAAAAAGTGATAGGACAAGAGGAAACGGCCTCAAGCTGTGTCAGGGGAGGTTTAGAGTGGATATTAGGGAAAACTTCTTCCTTGAAAGGGTGCTCAGGCATTGGAACAGGCTGCCCAGGGCAGTGGTGGAGTCACTGCCCTTGGAAGTGTTCACACACCATGGGGACAAGGCCCTCAGTGACGTGGGTTAGTGGTGGCCTTGGCAGTGCTGGGGAGTGGTTGGACTGGATGAGCTTAAAGGGCTTTTCCAACCCAGCTGATTCTATGATTCTATGAACTTAATTGGAGCTTCTACTACTGTCTCTCAAGATCATGATTTATTTGAAATTCCTACAGAAGCATTGATGGCTTTCTTATGAAGCACCTTTTCTGCTCTGATGTTGAGTAGTCATGGGCAATGAGAGCTACACACCCAGAACTCTTGTACACAGCTGTGACTCCAAGGCTGTGTGTGAACAAGATGACTGCCATCACAACCAGTCCTAGTAGGAAGATGAGAAGATGTTTTGGCCTATCTCTGGGATAGGTCATGTAACCAGCTCATTCTCTTCCTTGGCTTCTAGTTTTGCTTTTTTTTTTTAGAATGCAATTTCCTGTGTGCTATGGGCTGCAAGGGCCTGTATGCTGTTTAGGATTAACTGTTGGGACCTCAGATAGATGCAGGAAGTTCAGAGTCCTTTAATGACTGAGTGTGCTACAGGGGGTTGGACTGTGAGAGCCCCAGTCCAGGACAGAGATAGACCTTACCCAGTGAGGTGAGGAAGTGGATGTTGTCATTCCCCAGCCAGAACTCAGTCAGCTGGTTGCCAAAGCCTCGTTTGTATGAATCCCAGTCTCGCAAGAAGTTCACTGACCCATCCCACCGCCTCTGGAAAACCTGCAGGAAAGGAGAACCACAGGCCTGCCACCCACACCCAAAAGCATCCTTAGCACCCAGATGGCCCAGCAAATGCTCCACCTGTGTCAGGACACTCTTGCAGGTCTCTGGGGACCAAACTCCAGAGGAATCTGTCATTCACAGACCTCCTCCATCTGCCCTTTGAAATGAGGAGGAAATGATTTTCTGATTTAAGCAGGGCATGGGTCTGTTGTACCCAGCCTGTTCCCAGAGATCTCTCCCAGGAGAATCCCCCTACATACACAGGGATTCACCCAGGCTTACTGACATGAGCCTTGGCTGTCCCCTCAGTGTGTGTTTTCCTCCCTTTTTGTTTCTATTTCTGTGCCATCCTTTGCAGCCTTAATAAAAACCTCTGTAGGAACTTAGAAACCGCCCTCTCCTCATCCTACTCACAATCCACCCTCCGCCATCAGTGTCCATGTCGCAGAAGACGGTGGTGGCATTGCAGCCTTGGGGATAGATGGTGTACCAGCCACTCAGGATCTTGCCTCTACCCAACAGCTCTTGGCAGTTCCTGGCTTCTGTTCAAATCAGGGAAAGAGATCGAGTGGAAAGAATTACAATGTGCTCAATGCATCCAGGGAGCACATCAGCCTCATGCCCTAAGCCTGAGGCTTTGAGCCCTTCAGCCTCCCAGCTGGCTCTTTGCACTGCAGGACTCTGGCACACGGGTACTGGGAGCCAAACCCCGTTGCAGCTTCTGAGTCCGTAATCTGTATGTCACAGCAGAGATGGGCACATTCTAAGAGATGGCCTAAGGTGCTCAGGCTCCCCTCACCTGCAGCGACTCTTTTGGAGGTGTGAGTGATGGAGCTGCTCTGAGCAGGATGACAAACTCATGTTCCAAGAATTTGCCTAGGCTCAGGAATGTGTGTGTGGGGGGGGTGTACAGGGAGTGTTTGGGTAGTTAGCAGCAAAGGAGGAGTGACACAGAAAACCACCTACCAGAAACAGAGAAAACAGTGTTCAGGTTGGACAGATGTCACTTCTGAAGGTTGGACAGGTGTCACTTTTGACCATATTAGTATATATTATGTATAAATTTATTCTTCCTCCCAAAAAACACGCCTGATTATAGAAACTCAGATTCACAGCTCTGAAAGGATTGACTGGAATGGTCCTTTTCGAACATCCCAGCTTCCAGTTGCCTCTGTGGCTTTCACAGGGAAAAGCCTTTGGAGATGACCTGAGACAGTGGTGCTGGTGGAGTGGGGGTCTGAGTGTGCTGTTTGACGAGTGAATGCAGAGCTGTACCAGGCTGTCTTGTGGGCATGGGTGTCCTTCCTAAGGGAGGGATGGTGCTGGACTTGTCCTGTTCCTTATTACTGAAATATTTTTACATGCCCAGTAAATACGAAAAGGCAGAGGAGAGTCTGGGGCAGCAAGGGGCCAGTTCACTGGCATCTGGTGTTACAACAGCTCTGATGTGCCCGAGTGTGTCTCTGCACAAGACTGTGGCCCTATGGCATCCAAGCGTAGCCAGAGTGTGTTGTAGTTCTGCTTTGGCTTTAGCTCATGGAGACAGATGGGTCAACTGAAGCTTGTTTGTTTTCTTTCTTTCTTTTCCCAATGGTTAAGTTAACCTGAGCACTATCACACATGTGAACGTTGCATCTGCTGTACCTTCCACTCCAAGCATAGTGATATAACTACCTTTGAAGTGAGAGCATGTCTGTAGAGCTGTTTCTAGTGGTTTCATCTTGGAAACCAGGACACAGAGGCTCTCAAAACCTGACAGATGTCTAAGATGCATAGAAGGCAGGTGACTCAGGTAGTGCTCAGAGGACAGGACTTTTCTGCCCTGGCTGGATTAGAGTAGACACACAGAAGCTGCATATGGCTGTCAGAAGCAAATGGATTAACAGTGATATTTCCTTACTCTGTCCTTCACTGTCACTATTACTGCACTATCCTGACTGGTTCAGGGATTCCACCACTATCTGCTCTGTGTAATGAAGTACCTTAGAACGAAACTTACCCCAGGTTTCTGGAAATCCAGGTTCTCCTTTCATTCCTGTTGGACACACAACACCAATCAGCTGCTCTTCACCTTCCACACCCTCCTCTCCCCTCCTCCAGCATGTGACATCATTTGCTTTTCAAAACAAATCCTGCTGCACTGGTAGAGAGCTGTGATGTTATGAGAAGGGTTTAGCTCATCTGTGCACACAACAGAGGCACAGAGAAACCAGGCAGGATGAGTAACTCAATAAAAGTTCTGCTCCAGCTGCTTCTGTGCCCACCAGAGGAGACCCACCAGCCCATTTGCACAGACCCAGGAGAGCACAGAGGAACAATGTCAGGTGGGAACCTAAGTCATGAGTCCTGTTATTACAGCAGTGATACCCAGTACCCTCAGTCACTGGGAGCAACAGGCACACAGGGTGGCTACCAGGAGGCTGGGACACATAGATCCACAAGGAGCAGCAGCCTTGTCTCCTGGACTGTTGGACCCAGCATGATATATTTTCCCCTGACATCTGATCTGGGACTGGGAGGTCCAAATGGCAAGACTGACACAAGATGTGCCTCTGTTGGACCTGCTTGCTCTGCCTGATGCTGGCCAGCCCATGGATTTGGGTATCAACACGTCGTGCCAGTGAGTCCCATTGGGCTGCAACATGACCAGATGGGTGTGGAAGGAGGAAACACACATGTGGGAAGGCAGGGTCAAAGCCCCAAGATGGGAATGTTTGCTGATGGCAAAGTCAATGGCTTGGGAGCAGCTGAGACAGCTGTGCTGAACGGGCCACCAGATCAGCAGTGTTTGGTGCACAGCTATTACAAGCCAGACTTGTAGGGCAGCCTCAGTGCAGCCAGTGCTCCGTGACGGGTGCCAGTGACCCTTGCATGTGGGATGGTGGCATTAGGAAAAAAACTTTGTTTCCTCTCTACCCTTTTGCTAGTGCTGGTAGAAAGACATGTTCCCCTGTTCCCCTGGCACTGACAGCGACTGAGTTTCCTCTGAGCCTCTGCCTTTTGCCATAGCACAGGAAGGTCAGAGGTCTGCGCAAATCTGGCTGGTCCTGCAGGCTGGGGTATAGGAAGCCCTGTGGTTTCTGCAGGTGATGGTGCTGTTCAGCAGCATGGGGAACTGAGGGCAGCCCCTGTTGATGAAGAGCTGGTTTGGGAGAGTTGCTGCTTACACCATCTGGTCCAGGGCTGAGCCTACAGTGAGGCACAACTGCCACCAAAGAGCCCCCCATGTGGGGGGCTTTTTTTCTCTGTAGTTTCTCCACCTGGTGTGTTGTTCCTGAACATCACAGAGTAGTATTTTAACTAAACCAGCTCACATAATAAATTCAGCACGGCATAATTTACCTGGGAAGCCAGGCTCTCCAGCTGAACCTGCAAGACACAGGATGAAAATGTTCATCACAGACGATTCAAAGCAAGTGGATTACTGTGACTCCCCAGGTATCTGCTCCACCCCCTATGTATGTCCCAAATGTGCTCTCAAGTGGTGCGAAGCCATGGTGCTCTCCTGTGTCTCAGCTGGTGCTGCCACCCAGCCTGTCTGCTCTCTTGATCAGCAGCATCTCTCAGAAGAGCTCAGGAGGAGCAGGACAGAGGGGAGAGGGAAATGCTTCTCCATCTCCTGGAGTGTATCAGGGATTCTAAACTCCATCTCAGTGACTTTTTGTGGGAACTTCCCATTTTCAGTCAGGCACCTGTGAAATCTGGGGCAATAGCTGCTTTTCCAGTGGGTTCGTTCATCTCCTGCTGGAGTTTCAGCTGAAGTCTTTAGTGCTTTTGGCCAGGAAATATTTAGTGCTTTTTGGCCAGCTACATATTCGGCATGCAAAAAGGGCTGTTTTCCCAGCTAGTCAGTGCATCTGTGCTCAGTTCCTGGGTCCCACCTTCTTCCGGGAACTGGTTTCTCTAGAAGAGACAATTTTCCAATGTCTGCAGCATGCAGATCCTGCTGAAGACCTCAAGTACAGCCTGGATGTAGTGGAAGCTGATTTCTCAGCACACATTGTCCTCTTTTCAGGGGCTCATATTATTGCAAAGAACGCCCATTCCATCCTTGCTTCACCCTGCGCCAACTGTTTCCTAGAGCTTTGATCCCATCCTCCTGGTCAAGTGACCGACAAATGCATTGCACACCAAGACCAGGCCTGGAGTCTGCTGGAAACACTTGGCATTGTGTCTCTTCATCAGGCATCCTGGAGGAAGCATGGCAAAGCTCTTCAAAAGGGGGAGGCTTTTGGGCAGGTTTGCCATGTAGAGGCAGGTAGGGTGGGAATGAGGAGAGGTCTGATTTTAGGGTGGACAGTGTCAGTGGGGAACTTTGATAAGAAGAGTAATGTCTTCCTCTGTAATATGGCCCCACTTAAAGACACTCTTTCTACTAATCACACATGCAAGATCCATACCCCCAAATTCTGCTTTACTTAACACTACTTCAGGGCTCTTTCTTGGACTATGACCAGCACTACAGTTCATCTCTATAGACTGTGTGTCCCAGTATGTCCTGAACTTGGGTAGATTTATGGATTAGACCTGAATACGTTGCACATTACCTTTTACACCAGGTGGTCCCGCTTTCCCAGGGAGTCCCTGGGCTCCCCTTTCTCCTGCAAGGAAAGACTCAGTTTGTGCATGCACATAGCAAACTGACCAGAGGGGAGGGGATACAGAAGCCCAGGCAGCTGGGCCTTGGCTTTCACAGGAACAAGGAAGCTGGGTTTTGCTAATTAGATTCAATCTAATTAGATTCAATCCTGCAACCTATCTTACTACTTTTCTTCTGCTGAAGCTACACTACACTGGTACTGCCATTGCAAATCCTAATTTGCAGTTCACGTAGGAATTCTTACAACCCGTGTGCATCCTGGAGCCAGACCATGGATTCTGCTGCTGTGGATCTCTTCCCTCTGCTAATGTGATTCACCTTCTCCATGACTTGGCTATGAAACCGCTAAGGACTCCCATCTCCCTTGCTTCCTTGGGTATGGGGTACCTGCACAGCTCCCCAGCAGTTCCTGGTAAACACGCAGGAGCATCACAGCTTCCCTCCATACCACCAGTTCTATAAAGGCTCAGAAAATAAACAGGTGTTTTCACCGTAGAAGAAACAAATGAGTTGAGTTATAGCACTTCACACCCCAGGACCAGTTCAGACTTGTGACAGGACTGAGGGAAAAAAAGGTGACTCCATGTGTACCAGTGCATCTCTAGACATAGTGTTTCCACTCTTGACTCTCCAGTTGCAGAAGCCAGTGCCAGGACAGCCACTGCTCCATCATAAGCTTCCCCTACCCAAAGTAACAAAGCTACTTCATCTCAGAGTGTTCACTGCTGGCTTTTGGGGTCTCACCTTTTGTTCCTGGGAGACCTGGTTCTCCTTTTGGACCAGAGGCACCTGGGTTTCCTGGGCATCCTTGGAGAATGGCAAGCTGGTCAGCGTCACCAAGTCCCACTATTCTCACCTCTGAGGAAATGAAGACAGTCTTTGTGGAGATTATTAGGGCTCTGAAATGTTTTGGAGAGGAAACTGAACCCTCTGGAGTTGAGAAACAGTGCAAGCAAAAGAAATGAGGGTGGGAGTTTGGAGGTCTGTGGATCAACCGATGGCATTGATAGCTCTCATATTAGAGGATCTACACAATGAACCTCTGGCTGCAGGGGAGTTCAGTAGGAGAGGAGGCTGTTATATATGACATTATAATCATGACAAATACACTGTAGCTTAATTAAAAAAAACCTGAGAGGTGCCCTGAGGGAGTATGGACAGCAGAGTAAGTGACACTGACGGATCTGTGGACAGTAAAAGTTCTACTAAATTTCCTGACAGCAGGTCAGTTGGAAATCGCCCTTATTGCCTTCCCAAGTAATATAGACAAAAAGCTTTGTGCAGCATCCCCTAGCTGCCAGGGTTCCTGGCACCCAGCAAGCACTTGACCAATCCTCTGTATTGCACTGCTTCCTTTAGTAACTGGGCCAAGGTGCCGTGAACAAAAACCCCTTCACCAGGATGGAAAAACCTCAACTGGGATAGCCTGTTCCTGGAGATGACACTGGTAAGTTGGGGAGGATGCCACATCTTTGGTTGGAGCTAGCAGTTTTGTAAAGTGGCTGCTGAGATGTCAGCCCCCTCCCTTACCCTCCTCCCACTTACAGCTGAATTAAGAAAAGCACGGAAGGAAAATAATCACATCCCTCCACCCTCACCCAATCTCCTTGTGTTATGGGGGAAGTTGAAGCAGGCTATCTCAGTGGGATTGCAGTAGGATTTGTGCCTCACTCACCTGGGCAGGTGTCCTGGGCATCACAAATAGTTGCTATTAGGCTGAGCAGTGCCAGGAAGATTTGGGCTGCCTGTCCCATGGTAGGCTCTGCTCTCTGCACAGCTCCCCTCATCCACATTCCAGGCACTGTGGTTAGCATTGATCCACCTAAGCCTTTTATATCTAACAAAAAACCCCAGTGTAAGCTCCAACTCTGCGCTTGCCCACTGCCTGCTCTCAGGTCTGGGACTTGAGCTGGGTCCCAAGGTGTTTCTCAAATAAGCCACTTCTCACAAGTCTGATGGGAAAGTTCTTGTCCTGCTGCTCCAGCCTGCCTCGCCTCTGTCCTCTGCAGATTTTGGATGCTTTTCCCTCCCATATTTTATTTCTAAAGGAAATGAACCAGCAAAATCATAAGTTTAGCTAAGTGCAGGCAGTTCCCCTCATCCTGCCTGCTACAAATGACTCTTTACAAAAAGCATAGCTTAGTGTGTAGATGGGGAAACCAAGGCACTGAGAGCCAAAAAGCACAAGGTCAGCTGAGGCCACTGGCAGAAAGAATTTTCACAGCCTTAGCTCATGCTGTCTAGCATCCTAGCATCACTTTGCAGTCCTTCAGGCAGAGGTTTCAATTTATACATGATCCATGACTGATACAGAGTTAAAACACTGTGTATCCAGGCAAGGTTAGGTGGGCACAACCTCCCTGATTTTTTCTTTTCCCTCCTGTTTTTCTTTTTCTCCAGTCCCTGCTCACTGTAATAGTGATGAGGATTTTGGTTTTGCTTTGTTATATGCCTTGTGCTCTGCTCACTTGTGTTAGGTCCAGACTGCCTCAGTTTGACCCCCATGTTACCCTCAGACACAGAGCCTGTAAAGTATATGAATTTTAGAAGAGGCCAGAATTAACATTTTCATCCTCCTTACTGTTAAAAGCTAGTTCAGAGACATGGACTCATGTCTGCCCTATGGAGCAGGTGGAGAGGAAGAAGAGCCAGCACCTAGCATGAGAAGCCTTCTGCCCAGTGCCTCATATCCTGTGCTCTGTGACTGAAAAAGGCTGCAGTACCTTGTTTTAACTCTATGGAGGCAAAAGCTGCTGTCCTCAGCTGTTTCACTTGATCTATCACTCAAAAAAGCAATGGCCTTATGGATTACCGCATTGTCATAATTGCTAGATCTTTCCTGCCAAAACCAGTAGTAAGAATGGCTTTGCTCTGCTCTTTCTGATGCTCACTTAGCTGGATGGCCAGGTCTGGGTTGGGCTGAGAAGCATGTTGTGTAGGCAAATGTCATATATCTGCTCATCCTGATGCATCCAGTTAGGTATTATCAGCTGTGGCTCCATCCAGCCTGCGGGATACCTGGAGATATCACCCTGCTTCCATCTGAGGAAAGCAGCAGTGTCCTTGTGGATGCAGGGAGCACGGGGAGAAACTGCCAGTAAACAAGCTTAGTCCAAAGTAGGTCAGGCCCCTGAAGGCAGATTTTGAAATTGGCCCAGTGATCAATATGTCCTTATTTGTTTTTCCTCATCCCATGACCCAGTGAAGATTGCAGAGGGCTGATCACTTACACCATCTGCAGATTCTCCCTCGAGCCCTGGGAAATTTCCCCTGTGAGTCTTGAAAGTCCAGGATCACTTTGGGGATGAGAAAACAAGGATTTTCAGCACACTGGTTTATGGGGAGCACCTCTGAACACTGTGACCTGTCACTTCACCTCTAGAGACATAAATGCAAGAGCAAATTCCCCAGAACTGAACTGATCTGCAAATCCCCAAGAAATTAAGCTTAGCAAAGCAGAAGGCAAGATGACAGAAGAGCTTCAAAAAGTTCACATGGGAGCATCATAATGTGTGCTACAGAAGATTTAGAAATTATTAATGCAAAATTCTCTGTGAAATCCTAGCTCCTAGTGGTGTCCTGGGGCTTTGCTGCCACCAGGAGGTTAGAGCTGCGCGGGGAGGATGGGGAAAGCTGCAAAAGCTGGAAGTACCTAAACCAAGAAGCAAGCCCAGTCATTGCATTCCTCTGCTCTGTGCTGACTTAAGGACGTTGCTATACAACTCCTAAAGCTACAAGAAGGGCAGACCGTTGGCACGGGGGAGCTGGAAGGTAAACTCTGACGGATCTGACTTTAACCGGTGTGAAGTAAGAGCTTGCTCGAGAGTTGGCACTATTGCAGGTGCTGAAGGGGAGCTTCCACATGGTTTGGAGACTTGCCTTGCTGAGAAAGGAGTAATGTCAACCTGCAAGGATGGGTTATCACCCAGAGCAACAAGAAAAGATATTCTAGCTTTACCTTTTGTCGGCTGTGCTATTTATAACTCTTCACTATGTGTGAATAACTGAGTTTTCAGGGATTTTTTTGACGAACATTTGTATTTTCAAAGCAGACTTCAGTCCGTAACCACTCTTAGTATCTGTGGTGGGGACATTTGCCCAAGCTAAGGCAGCAGTTTTTTTCAAAAGATGTTTCTTGGTTTCCCTTTCCTGATTCTAGGTTTTGTGAACATATGGCACCTCTGAGTGTCTGACCTCCTAAGTGCTAAGAGCCCTGTTGCACATTTCCCACATCCTTACTACAAAACTAGTTCAAATGAGTTACTGAGGCTTCAAAAAGGCACAGGTAACTAGTAGGTTTTCTAAAGATAGTTGTCCTTGCCAAGTGGGGGAAATGTGGGAAAGCACACTCACCCTTGTGTTTCACATGCTGTGCTGCTAAAACAAGGTTTCACTCTCTGCAGCTTCAGTGGAAACTCCTGGCTGTAAGGAGGTCAGGCTGCGGGTTTCACTGGTGCTCACAGACCCTTCCTGCTGGGCAGAGGAAAACCAGTCTTTCCCATAGTTGGTGATGGCTGTAGCATGTCTCAGTACTGGGCAGCCAGGCAGTGCAGTGATTTATGAACACAGAGCACTCACTTTGAACTTGCGTTTAGGGGCTTCTTCCCCACATTTCTACACACTGATTTTGGGGCACAGTGGTTTCCTGATTTCAGTTAGGACAGATCTCTATCAGTTATTGCACACCAGCTGCATGCACTTGCTGAACCTTTGGTTTGGCATTTGCTTGGTTTCCTCTAGGAGTTGGTGTGGGGGAGCCTTGCTTAACTCTCTTTATGGTGATACACTGGGACAGCCCACCCAGAAAGGATTTCAATTAGTGGTTTCTTTCCTACCAACCTCTCTATCAGCCTCTGTTTCAACGAGATATTTCCTGCTGCAACCCATTTTTCACTTATTTTATAATCTCCAGTAACAGCTCTTCTGACCTGTGAAAGGCTTGTAGTCGTTCATGAGAGAAGGGAAAAAAGGCAGAGGTGATTTATAGGGTAGGCAGAACTTGCCCTGCACCCTCCCTGCTCAAATGAATCCTAAGGAGTACTTAAGCCCCTTTTCTTTCCTAATATTAATTTTCCTAGGTAAAGAGCAGTGGAGACATAGGTGGGACTGGTTGCTCTGGCACAACTGGTTGGATGAGCCATGTGCTCAGGGAGGGGGCAAAGTAGGCTTTTGCTGCAGAGGCATCTGGTGAGGGTATGCACACCAAAAGGGCAAGGACAGCAAGGGCTAAATGGCAGAATAATTTTTTCAACTATTTGCCTGTTGTTAGACTAGACAGATGTCACACAGCTGGGAGTTATACCTGCATGAGGTGAATTATTTGGTTCTTGGGGAAGGTTTTGTATATACTTCTGTTATGCCCATTCAGGCCTCAAATGTCCCAGTTTCTTAGTGACTGCTGCATAATAATATTTGCTTCCTTCCTCTCCAGTGGGGTATTTTTATGCCACCTCGCTCCCCAACACTGAGATCCAGTTGTCACTCCCAGTATTCAGTTCTGATTCCAGACCTACAGTGGTGGCTGGAGACTTTCTGTGCAAATAGTATATATAAATAGTTTTTCAGTGCTGCAAAATACAAATTCATCAATAATCAGAAAAGGCACTGGGACATGAAGGAACTTCCATTAAGAAACAAGTGGTTTTCCACTCAGTCCTTGACAGTTCTGCGATGGTTTACCCTAGTGAACTGCTGTAAAGATGAACGGGAACATTGAATCATAGAATCATAGAATAGTTAGGGTTGGAAAGGACCTTAAGATCATCTAGTTCCAACCCCCCTGCCATGGGCAGGGGCACCTCACACTAAACCCATATCACCCAAGGCCTCGTTCAACCTGGTCTTGAGCACTGCCAGGGATGGAGCATTCACAACTTCCCTGGGCAACCCATTCCGTTCTTTGCTCCATACCTATAGAAGCCCTTCGTGTTATCTTTCACATCCCTTGCCAGATTTAATTCTAACTGGGCCTTAGCTTTCCTAACCTGGTCCCTAGCTTCCCGGACGATGTCCCTGTATTCTGCACAGGCTGCCTGTCCTTGCTTCCACCTTTTATAAGCTTCTTTTTTCCTTCTAAGTTTTCTCAGCTGTTTCTTATCCACCCATGGAGGTCTCCTGGCCTTCCTGCCACATTTCCTTCTAGTCCTTACACAACACTCCTGAGTTTGTAGGTCAGGATACAAGCATCCCTTTCCTCAAGCCGGTTGATCGTTGAATATAGACCAGCAGTCTTGGGCCCTCCTGCCCTTCAGGGCTTTATCCTGTGGAACCTTACTAAGCAGGTTCCAGAAGAGGCCAAAGTCTGCTTTCGTGAAGTCCAGGGCAGTGAGCTTGCTGTATACCCTTCTTACTGTCCTGAGGATCCCAAACTCGACCATCTCGTGATTGCTACAGCCAAGGCTGCCCTGGAGTATCCCTTTCCCAACCAGCCCCTCCTTGGTGAGTAAAAGATAAAGCATGGCACCTCTCCTTGTTGGCTCCTCCATTACTTGCAAGAGGAAGTTGTCTTCCGCACAATCAAGGAACCTCCTGGACTGCTTGTGCCAGGCTGTACCGTCCTCCAACAGATATCCCCCATGACGACAAGGGCCTATGAGCATGAGGCTGCTCTTATCTGTCTGTAGAGTGCTTCATCCAGAGAGTCCAGTAGTGGCTCATGTTCAGCTTGTCCACCAAGACTTCCAGGTCCTGTTCTGGGGGGACTTTTTCACCTGATCAACCCCCAGCGTGTACTAGTGCCTGAAGTTACTCCTCCCCACGTTCAGGGGAGGAATACAACAGTTTCCTTTTGTTGAATTTAATAAGATGCCTCTCTGCCAAATTCTGGACAGCCTGCCCAGGTCTGTCTGAAAAGCAGCACAACTGTGTGGTGCATTAAAGCACTCTTCCCAGTTTTGTATCATCTGTGTTCTTGCAGAGAGTGCACTCTGTCCCATCACTGAGGGACATTAAATATTACTGTTCGCAGTATCTTGCCTGGAGTATAGCACAGCTGGACTTTGTGCTGCTGATCACAACCCATGATCTACCTCATTGGCCAGTTGTCTAGTCCATAATTCAGCCTGTCTACGAGGATGTTATGGGAGACAGTGTTGAGAGACTTGATAACATCAAGATAAACAACATTCACTGCTTTCCCATCTTTCACCAAGCTGGTCATCTTATTGTAGAAGGCTAGCATGTTTGTCAGGCATGATTTCTCCTTTGCTGACTTGCTTCCGTTCGCCTTCTTATGTAGTATGTCTTGAGGTAGCTTCTCAGAAGACTTTTCCATCAGTTTCCCATAGGGCGAGGTGAGGCTGCCCAGCTTGTAGTTTGCTGGTTCTTCCTTTCATTTTGCCAGAAATGCAAAGTGTTTCCTCAGAAACACCCCCTCCTCACCATGGCCATGCAGAGATAACCAGACTGGCCCTGCAATGACACTGGGCAGCTTCCTGGCATACCATCAGGTCCCAGTCACTTAAAAAAAAAAAAGAGCTGTCTTATGTAACTACACTGATCAATTTTTATCTTTTACGAGAATGACTAAGGTGAACGTCTGCAGGACAGGGAGATTTCGATGGCTTTCTTGGTTTGCATTTTAGTACTTTGTCCTTAACTGGTAAACAGGAGAACTTAATACCTATTTATCAACAGTATTTAGTTACAGAATGCCCAGACACAGTCTAGGCAAAATTTACTTTTTCAAATATCCCTTTTATATTGATCCGGTAACCCTTTATTCATGGAGCTTAAATGAATATGTGAATGAGCCCCACTCAAGGCAGGTCCTTTGTGTCTGAAAGCTTGCTGCTTCCCTCTCACTCCCAACTCTCTGTCATTTGGCCCAGTGAAAGTTATTAACATCTGTCTCTCAAATTGGCTATCCCCGGACTTCTCCAGTAGTTTTACTAAACTTCCTAGTGGGTGGTGAGAAAGCCAACAAGACATGAATATAAAGAAGAAAGTCGGAAAAGGGTGGCTATTGTTTTTGTGGGGCTGAGCAAGCCTTGTCCATGATGGAAGTCTGCCGCAGAAAATACATGGACTCAGTCAGAGATCAATATGATCAGACAAAAGCCGTTTATTACAAAGCCTTAACCCCTTAAATACTATTTCTTACATGCACTTACAGTGATTTGGCATATTATGATTGGATACATGTCTTGAAGACCCTTTGCAACTAGCATATAATTGGTTAAGCACAGGTGTGGGAACTTGACCTCAAAAGCTTGCCAACAGTCCACAGTTCTCATTACCTCAGTGAATTCCATCTTCTTCTTATCTTGCTTGCTTAAGATTCCTTGGGCCTCTCACGGCCTTGCTGTATCTTTCAGGATTTTCAGAGTTTATGTACCAATTATCCATTCTCCTGTGAGAACACTGTCTCCACATCTCCCCCTTTTTGTTTTATATATGGTTTGGATGACTCTACTTGAGCAGGGGATTTGGCCTAGATCATATCTCCAGTATATGCCAACTACAGGCTGCTGGGCCTGCCCCTTTTTTCTGCTGTATGGCTCTCTGACAACAGGGGAGGCCATCCTTCACATCAAGGTCTGGCATGGCATGTGTCCCCACTGCTCCACGCCTGCTGGGTTGCAGCCAACAGCGGAGCTAAAGGCTCTTCTTGGTGGCAAACACAGAGGCCAACCCAGTCTTGCCCTTGATTGTGGTAGCAGGCATTTGGTCAGCCTCAGTCCTTGCACCTTGTTGTCAATACACAGTTTCACCTGCTTCATCCAGTAACAAGTTGCTACTACAGCAAGGCACACACAAATTTACATTAGCAGAGTAACTATTACAGGGTGCAGCAGCATGTTGAAGATGCTGGTGGCAGCAAGGGACTAGCCAAAGAAATTTCTTACCAGTGGAATTTCTCCCACCCTCTTAATTTGTTCCATCACCTGCTTTATAACACTACCATTGTATTAAAATCTTTCCAGCTTTTGCCTTAGCATTTTGTAGCAGCTACTGCAAATTTCCATACTCTAACATCTCTTTTACAAGTGACAAATCTATACAAGGTGTAGTTCCTCATTAGCAACTGGCTAGTAATTACAGGTGGTTTTATACACAAAATCACAGCCTCTAATAATAGCTACTTTACAAGCACACATATTCAGGATGTTACTTTTCAGTTGCCCCCAAGTGATGTTTTGCAGTCATTCGTTTTTTCTCTTCCTCCATCTCATTCTGCTTGGGGTATTCACAGTCAGCTCCTGTAGCTGAGGCATCAGGTTTTTCCATTTGTCTGTCCAGCTCATAGCAAGGCTTGACAAACTTTGCAGGCAGTCCAGGTTATCAGTTCTTGAGAAGCAGAGAGGTTAAACTGCATATTTGCAGCATCATTGCTCTTTCCCCCTTATTTTTTTTTTTTTTTTTTTTACCCCTGCAAAAGCTGGCCTGCTGGGCAGCAGCTACAGCCGCCTGCCTGCTTCAGCAGCAACCATAAATTCCCGCCGGCAGCCGCACTTTTACATTAACTGTTTCATGCCAGAAATGTTAAACAGCTACCCATTAAAAACTTTTACATGAACCCAACAATACACAAAACACCGACTGCCCTCAACACACACACACACGCGTGTGGGATCCCACAAGCACACTCCACACAACTACAATATTTGAAACACAAATGACAATCATGACTCCCACTACAGTCCCACGCACAGAACGTGGCACAAGGACCCTGTGGAGACTAACAGCAAACCAGCTCCGAGAAGCATCATTGCAGTGCGAGGTGGCAGCCTCAACCCTAGCGGGCGTCCCCGCAGAGGCTCTGCCTCCCGCACAGCGCATGAGGCTTGGGCTTTTATACTGACCAAAATGCACACTCATTCCGACACAGGTGGCCAGCCTGTGCTGGAAGAAGTGGCCAGCAGTATCTACAAAGGTCTCCAAAGGTTGAAAGAAACCTGGACATACTTATTTTTACCAACTTCTAGTTCATAAGTATCACAGAGAGACTGTATTAAATGAGTCACAGTATGCCCAATACCCCTGTATAAGAACATATGAAAGACCTTCCCACCACCGAAAACGCACACAATATGCCTGTATCCTGTGTTTGTCTCGCTGTAGGTTTGGGGGGGGTGTGGGGGGGTGTGTGTGTGGGGGGGCATGTGGGTGGATGGTGGTTTTTTTGTTTTTTTTTTTACTTTAACGTAAAAAAGATTGCTCCCTTCACTTTAAGAAGGACTGAAAACATCCATAAAACAGAAGTCCTAAGCTGAAATTTCAATTAATTCAATCACTGACAAGGGGGTTGTCCTGGGGTGGTGCTGGCTCTTTCCAGGGTTTCACCCATCGAGCTGGCACCCACCGCAGACCAGAATCTGTAATTACACACATACAACCTCGACCAGTTAGTTTTACTTCCACAGGACCTTTCCAAATGCCGGTTTCCAAATCCTTGTACTGGACCAAAATACCCGGAGTTTTAGTCATATAACCTGAACCTAATGCCTGACCATGTATTATAGCAGGGGGGGCATTAAAGTCTCCTGTCAATTGCACAAAATTCATAACATATACAGCTTTCTGCATCCTTGCTACCGGTGTACGTCCTTCTTCCCCTGCTTTTTGTTTTTCCAACAGTTGTTTCAAAGTTTGATGTGTTCGTTCAATAATAGCTTGTCCTTTAGTACCCCCACGATCACCCTGACCTTGTTGTAGAAGGGGCTTAACAGCAGCAGCGAAGGCAGTAGCCATGTATCCAGCCTTTTCCTCTGCTGTGCCCACTTTAGAACATGCATCCATCATTTCTTGAAGACCAGCAGATTTTGGCAAAACCTGCAAAATACGCTTACAAGCTGGGTTAGCATTTTCCATAGCCAGAGACACAAGCATGGATTCTTTAGCATTAGATGCCAGATCAATATTCTTTTCGATAGCCTCTGTCATCTGTCAATAAATTGCATATATGGCTCAGTAGGTCCCTGCTTTACTGATGTACATGAAGGATTAGGTTTTCCCTCTTCCGGCACAGCTTTCAGAGCAGCTAAAGCCAATTGCTGTACTTGCTGTAAAACTTCAATTTTCATACGAGCTTGTACTCCATCAGGGTGAAATTGTCCCTTTCCCAATAACATTTCATATGAAACACCGTGCAAAGGGTGATGAGGATTACACTCTGAATTCTCATCTGCAGCTCTTGCGGCAAGCTCCTCAAACCCACTTTTAAAAGGTAGGAGCTGTGAAGGAGTTAATAAAATTGCAGCCACTCTGAGACAATAATTTGGAGTTAGACTGTACTGTGCGCCAGTTTTTGACCAGAATGTTTTATGCCCGAAACAGACGACACTACCCTGGCTGTAGCACCAGATCCTGAATCTAATGTAGGTGCCGAGCCCTGCTGTTGTGAAGGCGAGTCAGAGAGAGCTGTAAAAGCGGATTTTGCCACCTGTTTCTCAGCCTTCATTGCGGATAGAGTCCCTTTTAGTAGTAACCAGGGGGCAGCAAGAGACTTTGCCTCCTTAAGCCCACAAGTAACTTGATCCCACAGGCATGCCCCAATTTTTTTCCAAGTCCCGAGATCAAAAGCTTCATTAACCCCCTGGATCACCTCTTTCTCTTTACTCCAGAGCAACAATCTTTTTAACAGATTATCATCATATTCTATCCCTCTCACTGAGAGGATATGCTGGAAGAGCTTAAGGATGACCATTTTTTCTTTACTTAATTGATTCCCCATCCTAACCCTCTTCCAGACCCATCGGCCGTTACCTTATTTGCACTGCGCAGTGTCTTCCAGGCTCACTAGGCTATGTTCCGAGGCTACTACCTCCCGATCCTGGTCCTGCCGGATCGAACCCAGCCGACGTCCCTGCGGCTCCGCGTTTTCCACTTTCTTCGGTGCCACGCGCTTTAATTCCTTCAGTTTCAATATGAAAAATATGGGGGGTCCCTGTTTGGGCGCCATTTGCCACAGAAAATATATGGACTCAGTCAGAGATCAATATGATCAGACAAAAGCCGTTTATTACAAAGCCTTAACCCCTTAAATACTATTTCTTACATGCACTTACAGTGATTTGGCATATTATGATTGGATACGTGTCTTGAAGACCCTTTGCAACTAGCATATAATTGGTTAAGCACAGGTGTGGGAACTTGACCTCAAAAGCTTGCCAACAGTCCACAGTTCTCATTACCTCAGTGAATTCCATCTTCTTCTTATCTTGCTTGCTTAAGATTCCTTGGGCCTCTCACGGCCTTGCTGTATCTTTCAGGATTTTCAGAGTTTATGTACCAATTATCCATTCTCCTGTGAGAACACTGTCTCCACAGAGGTCCAGACCAATGGGTGACCAGGCAGGTGTTTTTTCCTGTTAAATTGTTTTTAAGCCATGTTACAAATGTGCACATCATTTCACTAAGATTCCTCAGCCTCAGGATGGAGAAGCTGACTTGAAAGGTGGTGTTACTCTGCAACTGAAAAATGAAGCAGGACCGCCATGAGAGTACTTTTCCTCCTATAAAGGTCCTGTCCCTGAAGAAGGTGGAAGGAGTGCATTGCATATTGCATGTGGAAGAGAGGATAACAGTGAGGTAAGATCATAGCATCTGGGGCTCTGCTCATGGAGTGTAGTTCTCAGCTACTCATAAATGACATAACTTAGCAGTGAAGACATAGATCCCTCTGTAAGGAACTGATTGCATACCATGAATAAACTCCTTTTATACTGAATTATTAGCATTATTATTATACTGAATTATTAGCATTAATTAGCCTTTAACTTAATCATCCACAAGGCAAATATGAAGTTTAACAGTCTTAGTTTTGGCATGCACTAACCTCTGTGCATTTAGTTTTGTACTGCAGTAACGTTCTTCAGGCAGGTTTGGGATGTGTACAGTTGGAGAAAGGTATTTGAGAGAGCAGACCAACTTCTTGTTCAGCCTGGAGAAGAGAAGGCTTGGGAGACCTTAGAGCAGCTTCCAGTGCATAAAGGGGCCGACAAGAAAGCTGGAGAGGGCCTTTGGACAAGGGTCTATAGGGACAGGACAAGGGGGAATGGCTTTAACGTGCCAGAGGGGAGATTGTGATGAGCTCTTAGGCAGAAGCTCTTCCCTGTGAGGGTGCTGAGGCACTGGCACAGGGTGCCCGGAGAAACTGTGGCTGCCCCATCCCTGGCAGTGTTCCAGGCCAGGTTGGATGGGGCTTGAAGCAAGTTGATCTAGTGGAAGGTGTCCCTGCCTGTGGCAGGGGTTGAAACTGGATGAGCTTTAAGGTTCCTTCCAACCCAAACCAATTTGGGATTTTATGATTCTTCAGAAGCAAATTTGCACATTCCTTCATTGGTAAGATTAATGAGGTTTGATAATCTGGTTGAGAAGAGGTTTCATGTATACCACCACAATGCTTGGGGTTGTCAGTCATGAAAAGTGGACATAAATTTTTGCTATAACATCATTGTTTATATGAAAGGTTTGAATGTGTTTTATACTACTCATTAATTATACTATTATTATTAGATTTAATATTAAAAACAAAATTTTGTTATAATCTAATTGTATCTTTTTCCACCACACTTGCCTGCAAAGCATGCCAGAGATGTTATCTGCCTCGTTTTAATGCATCAGGCAAATCCAAAAACATTGTGGAGTGGCCATTCACCACTTTCCTTAGCAATTGCGACTGGAAATGACTTGCTAAGTAAGTTTCTTCATTTTTAGGGGTATAGTACTTTTATGTTCCTTTATGGAACCTGCCTGCCATGAGCAGGGGCACCTCACAATAAAGCATGTCACTCAAGGCTCTGTCCAGCCTGGCCTTGAACACCGCCAGGGATGGAGCATTCACGACTTCCTTGGGCAACCCATTCCAGTGCCTCACCGCCCTTACGGTAAAGAACTTCTTCCTTATGTCCAATCTAAACTTCCCCTGTTTAAGTTTGAACCCGTTTCCCCTTGTCCTATCACTACAGACTCTAATGAGGAGTCCCTCCCCAGCATCCTTATAGCCCCCTTCAGATACTGGAAGGCTGCCATGAGGTCTCCACGCAGCTCCTCTTCTCCAGGCTGAACAGCCCCCCACTTTCTCAGCCTGTCTTCATACAGGAGGTGCTCCAATCCTCTGATCATCCTCATGGCCTTCTCTGGACTTGTTCCAACAGTTCCATGTCCTTTTTATGTTGAGGACACCAGAACTGTACACAATACTCCAGGTGAGGTCTTATGAGGGCAGAAGTACTTCTCCATTCATGTCTGCCTTCTTTGATGACAGCCAAACTACATAAAGGGTGGTGCTTGCAATCATACATTTTCAGCAAAAGTAGTAAAGTTTTTACTTTTCTTTCAAACCTACGGATATTTCATGATCTGAACTAGAGGAATCCTAAAGGACTTTAGTATGAGGTAGACAAATATTTTGGTGGGACTCAGAAGGAACTAGCATTTGGAGAACTGCATTCATTTTATGACTCCCAAGATCATCCAGTTCTCTCACAGGCTGTCTTCCTGCCTGGAGCAAACCAACCAAACACCAAAACACTTGCTTCTGGGTATAAGATAGAAGTGGAGGTAGCCATTGATGGTAAGAAGTATGCTGTTGTATGAAAAGATTAATAATCAGTCTTAGAAAGGATTTGGTAGCAATGAAGCTCCAGACTCCATAGATGAGACTTATACTTCACACAGTAGAATTCAGTGTGTGAATTTCCTAAGCAGGGAGTGGACTGCCTTCTGCCCACACTAGGCCTATAATATCAGGTTCACAGCAGCCAGAACGGTGCAAGAGAAGATAACGCAACCAAAGCAGGCGATGAAGCAGATGTGTCTGAAGTACTTTACTTCTCTTCAAAGAGAACTCAGTGTTTCCAGGTTCCTGGTTTATCTTCTTTGTGGAAACCAATGCAGGAGAATGATGGGGTGAGAGTGGCACCCTGACTCCCCACTGAGCTCAGCTTTTGTGCAGCTAGCACACAAAGCCCTGGTAAGAACACTCCAAAGGGAGGCAAGCCTAGCAGTTCAGATAAGCTGAAAGGGGCAGGGTTGGCGTGTGATTTCTGCATCCCTGTTTACCTTTCTCAAAAAGGTAACACAAAAGCACACAAGTAATCCCGAGTGGCATTCTGTTGGAAACACAGCCATGACCAAATCTACAGGAAACCATTCTCAGTATTTTTTGTTCTGTTACTACAAAATTTATGCTTTACATAGGATAAGCAGTAGAACAAAGAAAATATTTGTAGTGTGTTGCTCTTCTTTAACTATATTCCTTTCACTGGAAGGGTATCCAATACCTATCAAAACAAATCTGGATGCAATATATACAGCTAGAGGAGCTAGAGTGTGTGCTATGAAAGGGGTGACAACTGCATACAACGTGAAATAGATTCTGCATCAAGTCTTTGTGTCTGAACCCTTTTCTGTATGCTGTCTTCATAATTTTCAAGTCAATTTTGGTATTCTTCTGGCCAAAAGTTTTCTTGCAACACAAAAATTTAGATTTCATTATTTTTAATGAAATAGTCCCATATCCAACAATTTCTACTGCTTCTTTATGTCTGATAAAGTAATGATCTAATAGGCTGTAAGGGATCAACCTATCTAATCCTTATCTTTGTAGTAAAGCTTTTTTTTTTTTTTCCAAACACACTATGGCTCAGACCAGGTGATTTTTAAAGCTGCCCTTTCACATTGTTGTTTGGTATTCGATGGTGATGCTATGATTCATGCTAAAAGAAGTAAAAAGTACTGTCTGGTGACTAATTTTTTGAGTGTTACTGAAGCTATGACAAATACAGGCCGATACTCCAAGTATGCTGTGGAAAATACTGTAAAGCTTTAGGGCTTTGCCTGATCTGACCAGGGTCTGGTTTCCTGCTGTAGAACTGTCAATAGAGGCTTCTCCAGTCACTAATGTGTCACATTTGCATATGCACCTTTGCAGGCAGTGATTGAACTCCTCAGACATGGGGCTGACCCAAATCTGCCATTGAGTGGAGCAGTAAGAAGTGCCCTGTGTGCCGCTGTCAGTACAGCGTATGAATAGCAGAGGACGGCAGCACAGAGGATTGCCTTGCTGAGATAACTTCTGGGTGTTTGTTGTTTTTTTCTCAAACCTCAGAAAACCAGAGAGTTCTGTCTCCTCTCTCTGGAATGGATAAGCTGATTTCTCCCCACTCTCCCTGTGTCTGCTCCTAATGCTGTTTATTTCTGTCCTGAGGCACAGGTGTTTTGTATGGAAATTTGTTTTCATGTTCAAGCAAAGAGGATGATAACTTCCTTGTGTAGAAAAGCAAAAGCTGCATTAAAGTCAGATGGGGTAGTTGTAGTGCCTCCAGTCCTACCAAATCTGACTATAACCTTGTTTATGAACGCAACCAGCATCCACAAGAAGAGAGATGCGTTGTCTTTGTTTGTTATTGTAAAATATTCGATACCACTGGTGATGAGTGAGCTTTCTCATTCATGCTTAGGTCAATGGCCACATTTGGCCTTGTGAAAACTAGAGCTTTTTCTCCTCCTCCAAGGGAGCACAGGGCTGATCTTATTCAGAGTGGAGGTGAAAGGCTGCAGCTGATGGGTCCGGGAGAGGAGGGAATTTCCTCAGGTGGGTTCTGCTCTGAACCCTCCTTCACTAGTTGTCTGTGCTTCATTTGTTGCTGGAATATTGTGAGATACCCAGAAACAAATAGCTACTGCCTGCAAGAAGGTTTTACTTACAAAACATGTTTAGATTTGACAGTTCAACGTCAACTCTAAAGGGGCAGAAGAAATGCATGGTTTAGTGCACCAAATGGTCTCACAAATAGAGGTTGAGCTCTGATGCTCAGTACTGTCTCTTTAGCTGTGGTATGAATGCAATTTCTGGGAAAGTTTTCTTTTTGCTTGAATGTGTAATGATTTGCTGTCTTCGGGTTGATAAGCTGCTTGAAGCTGGTGCAGATAGCCTTGCACCAGTTACTCTTCAGGAAGGACAGAAAAGCTGGATGTGGACCCAGCAGTGTGCACTCGAGCCCAGAATCCCTCACCCTGTGCTGGGCTGCATCCCCAGAGCATGAGCAGCCATTCAAAGGAGGGGATTCTCCCCCTCTGCTGCACTCTGGGGAGACCCCCCCCCCCCACAGTCCTGATCCAGCTCTGAGGCAGCAGCACAAGAGGGACCTGGAGCTGTTGGAGCGAGGCCAGAGGAGGCCATGGAGATGCTGCGAGGGCTGGAGCAGCTCTGCTCTGGAGCCAGGCTGAGAGAGCTGGGCTGGGTCAGCCTGGAGAAGAGAAGGCTCCGGGGAGAACTTACTGCATCCTTTCAGTACTTAAAAAGAGTTTATAAGATTGAGACAAACCTTTTAGCAGGCCAGTTGCAATAGAACAAGGAGTAATAGTTCTAAACTTGAAAGAGTAGGTTTGACTAGATGTAAGGAAGAAATTTTTTACATGAGTAGTGAAAGACTGAAATAGGTTTCAAAGAGAAGACATGAAACCTGTTCCAGTGGGAAGGGATGCCCCATCCCTGGCAACACTATCCCTGGCTTAGTGGTGCTCTGAACAACCTGATCTTGTTGAAGATGTTCCTGCTTATTGCAGGTGGGTTGGATTAGATGACCTTTAGAGGCCTGTTCCAACCCAAACTATTCTATTATTCTATGATTTTCTCTTGAAGAAACATCTGGAAATTGTTTTAGTTAATTTCTTGAGCACTCACCAAACTGATAACTGGAACAACTAGGACATCTACCCTGGACATGTTCTGTGCTCCATATCGTGGACTGCGATCCAAGCCAGGATCCAGCAGGGACGATGCTGTGCTTTTGGAATAGGTTGACTTTAACTCTGAAACACTAACTTGTGTGCTAGTGTTCCCATGTGTTAGTGCATTATCTCATGTTATGTTGCAGGATAGAATTGCTCACACACCATAGCGCATACTGTCAGCATCTGAGCAGGAAGTTTTTCAAACACGCCAATCACCGCTGGAACACATTACAGTGAAGCTCCGTGAGCATGTCATCCTGAAAGAGAAAGAGTGGGATCAAGAAGCACTGAGAAGATCCAAGAAATGTTAGTTCAAGTGTAAGATGTTCAAGATTAAATGTAGCATCACCTCGTGTGAAGGGGAATTGATTATTATAGTTCTCATTATTGTCTGAAAAGGTAACTCCTAATAAAAACTGCTTATCCATGTTTGGTAAGGAGAGGTAGGGGTTATAGAATCATAGAATAATTAGGGTTGGAAAGGGCCTTAAGATCATCCAGTTCCAACCCCCCTGCCATGGGCAGGGACACCTCACACTAAACCATGTCACCCGAGGCTCTGTCCAACCTGGCCTTGAACACTGCCAGGGATGGAGCATTCACAACTTCCCTGGGCAGCCCATTCCAGTGCCTCACCACCCTTACAGTAAAGAACTTCCTCCTTAGATCCAATCTAAACTTCCCCTGTTTAGGTTTGAACCCGTTGCCCCTTGTCCTATCACTACAGTCCCTAATAAATGGTCCCTCCCCAGTTCTACAAATATTAAAGAGAATGAGCAGGCTTTGTGAAGAAATCTGAATATGAGTTTAGCGCCTGTCAGCTGCTTCCTAGTAAATCCCTGTACAAGATCTACTACCATGTGTTAAGGAGTGATTGGGGGAGTTGGCTCTTCTTTCATGGAAGAACCTTGGAATTGCTTTTCCACAGTGCAGGGATCAGGATACATGCAATGGTCACTGTGCATATCTAGTGTACCTTCATTCCTTATGGCAACTGACTATCAGGTCCTCTCCCATTGTGTCAGTGCTCTTCTGCTATTAAAGTAGCAACAATGAATATATTGTTACGTAAATCTGAATTTGGATGATCTGAGTTACATCCTCAGTACTGCTCAAATGTGTGGTGAACTCAGGCTTAGAACCTAGGTCTCTGATAGGTCTTTGTGACAAAAGATGTAGCACACTTGGGAAGTGAACTCGGAATGTAAGGTTGTTACCTTTGCAGTTCAGCATCACCGGTGACTCTGTGGCTTGTCACAAGCAGGTTGTAAGAACAAATTATCTGTATGGTTTCTTCCTCTTGGCTGTGACAGGCAGCAACTTGGCTCCTACTTTCTTGGCTTCTGAAGCTTGTGGATGGAAGATGCATTTTATTATGTATCTTCAAATTTTCTACAGTAGACAAAGCCAAGCAGACTTTTAATGAAAGTGAATCTTGTGACTAGTATTTGAATTCTTATGTCAGAATACCAATTTTTGTTTTCCCCCATGTTCTCTTTTGCTGGTGTAGTGGATTCAGCCGTTCATGCACATGTTTCAAAGAAGAAAGGAGGGAGCCAGCATGTGGAAGAAATGAGGTAGGACACTACTACAGGATACTGCTCTCAAGTATTGACTATTAGAAGTCAAAAATCCTATGCCCTGGGTTTTTTTCTTCCTTGCCAAAATTATTCTCACCCTGCCATTTTTCTCCTTTCTGATTTTCCTCTCCAGTCTATCCAGACTTACCAGCTGCCATTAGGTTCTTTCTCAGCTCTGATCACATCACTCCTTTTCAGCTTCAGACTTTGCTATTACTGTTTATAATAGTCAGTCTTCTTGTGGGAAGCAGAGGGTCCTTGTGTTTTAAACCAATTAATGCCATCAGTACATTAGAGTAGCATGCAAATACTAAGAATTAGGTCCATGCAAATTTTGTAGCTTACATTTTGCCAGAAATTTCAGGAATAAGTTGTACAGTTTGAATGTTATTCTTGGAACTGCGTATTAACAAAAGTTTGAGTAATAATGGCATACTGGCCTTGACGATATTGAATTCTGTCACCAGTTTCTTGTACTGTAGGGAATTCACAGGCTTCTGAACTTTGCCTCAGTATTTGAATCAAGAGTAAGTAAGATAGGTGTCAGGAACTGGGGCTCTTTTGAAGACAGAAATTTTGAGGTAGCATTTTTTTCTGAACTGAGACAGATCAATAGTAGCATAAGATGCAGAAATAGCTAGAAGAACATAAACTAACTCAAACTAAAACCTGGAAAGTTAAACTAGTACACAAAGATTTTACAAATAAATCTCAATGGTGACTTCCAGCAACAGATGAAACCTTAGTGAAACTTGTATTTGGAAATGATTCTTAGATGGTTTTGAAAGGATGTGAATGTGTAGTCCAGCTTGCACCTATATCTAGCATTCTGCTTCCCTGTCCCACTGACAGCCTTAGTCCAAGCAATCTATTTTATGTTCCAACTTTGGAGTAACTGTTGTGGTGCAGAGGCCTGTTGAAAGTCCTTGTTTGTCTCTGAAGTATTCCAGGGGGTTCTGGGAGTGTTTTAAGTTTGCCAGCTTGGCTTTGTTATCTCTGACGACATATTATCTGTTTGCATGCCAGTTTGAAAAGAGACATCTCCAGGCTGAGTGTACACCAAAGCATGCAGTGTACTAGTGCATGGCAGGATGTGGGTGTTGGTTTGGTGAAAGCTTGGTCATTTTTCTCACTAGGACACTTGGCTTTTCTGGGGGCTGGCTTTGCAGCTGGTATGCAGTCTGCTCCCCACAAGCCCCTGCAATAAGCTACAGAGACTCCTGTTCCTTTATTGCTGAGCATTATTGTTGAACATTATTATTTTTGTATAGTAGCCGTTTTAATTCAGTTTTACTGTGATCTGCAAACATGCTGTCAGCTTGAGGAAAGCACTAAGCAAACAACAGTGTGCTTTCATTTTACAGCTATCTTTGTTCTAGATTACCTTTCTTTATATACTGCTATCGGTGTGGACGTTCAGTTGGTGTTCAGCTCTCAGCTTGCCAGCATTGTCATGAAGTCTTCACTTGCAGTGATACTTGCAAAAAGAAATCCTGAAATGAGTGTCATAGGCAGAGGTGTTTGGGATTGCTGAGTAAGTCTTCCCGTCGTTACAATCTGAGTACAGTGGTTTGTGCTTGTATACTGACTGGGGTATGTCTTCCATGTAACGGACCAGTGGTCCTCTCCAACCCTAACTATTCTATGATTCTACACGGAAACTAGAAAACTGTGCCCTTACATGTTCTGAAAGCCCATGAGCCAATCAGCACATAACAAATAACAAATTAGCTTTCAAGAGGTCTAAGCCAAATGAATGGCAACCAGGAAAACAGGTAGAGGGCTTGGGAAGGCTGATGGATGAACTGTAGAGGGGTTTGGGTATGAAGAGAGTTAGCAACATAGCAAGGAGGATTGGCAGACATAACAGCGCTGGTGGAAAATTGTAGGGAGAAGATTTTGGTAGCGGGGAGAGTATCCTGAGGATGAATTGGAGTGATTCCAGTAAAAACTACAAGCTGCTGCTTGGAAGTTTCTATTCAGGTACCGCAGGGAGGTACTAGATGCTCTCTCCACATTTCATGACACTAGAAAACCCTACAAAGCCAAGACGAGCAAAGAGCAAAATACCGAATCCTTACTCAAGTCCTGTACCTGTACACTGACCTTTAGGATACTTCCCATGAGAAAAGCTAAGCAGGGAGCTTAAATCCTGTAAAGTAGAGGAGCTGGTATCTCAAAAAAACAGTTTTGCTCAGGTAACTGCAGTTACCATTTTCATTTAATATTGCATTACTACTTTATGCTGAAATTGGGCTAGGATAAAGCCAATAGCCTTCCTTTGGACCCTTCAGAGTGCACACGGCTTGCAGGGTTAACTCCTGTAAGTGACAATTGCTATTTTGGTTTGAGGTGCTGTCGTGGTTTAAACCCAGTCAGGTAATTCGTTCGCTCACTTCCCCCCCTTTTCTTGCCCTCCCCCTGCTCTCGGAGGGACGGAGAGGAGAATCAAAAAGAATGCAACTCCCACGGGTTGAGATAAGAACAGTTTAGTAACTAAGGTATAACACAAATCACTACTGCTACCACCAATGATAATAATGATAAAGGAAATAACAAGGGAAGAGAATACATCATCTCACCACCAGCCAACCAATAACTCGCCCCCCCAGCCCGACCAAGCTCTGACCGATACCTCCCCCAACCCTGCAGTCCCCCAGCCCTTCCGGCTAACTCCCATCCTGGGCATGACGTGCTGTGGTATGGAATACCCCTTTGGTCAGTTTGGGTCAGGTGTCCTGTCTCTGCTTCCTCCTGGCTTCCCCTCCTCCCTGGCAGAGCATGAGGCTCACAAAGTCCTTGGCCAAACCTAAACATCACTATCAGCTCTGTTCCCAAGCTGAAAGTCAAAACACTGCACTGCACCAGCTACCAAGAAGGGGAAAAAATGACTGCTACTGCTGAACCCAGGACATTATCCACCCCTTATTCCATACCATTCACGTCATGCTCAGATCCCACATTTTCAATACACCCATCACTCCACTCTTATCTAAGTGCATGGACTATAAAGCTATATCCCTATAAAGCTGCTGAGTCTATCTGGTCCATGATGTCAGGCTCCATCTCTTGTAACAGTCTTCCAGAGCAGGAGAGACTGTGTGCAGTGTTCACACTTGTGAATAACCTGGGCAATAGTGTCCATTGTTAAGTCCACCCCTTGATCATGAGTCCATCTCTATGTTGCATCTCTGCTCTGATGGCCTGAAGTGCCATGGGCCCACCAGGCTCAAAATAATTCACTGTCCCCTTAAGCAGTTTCTGCAGCTTGTTGCTGGGGACTCCATACAGCTGCCTTCCATCTCCGATGCTTCCAAAGCACTGGAGGGGCCCAGTGGACTAGATACTTGCCCATACTGTCCCACACACCCTGCCACTCATGACTGTCCAGCCTTGGAGAAAACCTTTTGGTCCCCCTGTATTGTCGTCTAACCCCAGACAAGACCCAAACCCGACTCTGCTTAACTTTTGAGATCAGACAAAATGGTTGTGGGTAAAACACAGTCTGTGTGTGTGCCAACATGCTGATCCCCATCACAATCAGCAGGCAGGTACCAAGGATACCCAAAGGCCATTCTAAACCTTCAGAACTCTCAGTTGATGCTGCTGTACTTGTCACTGGGGCTGGTGTAGCTGCTGTGCTTGCCGGCTCTCCCACCGCCAGCCTCTCTTTTCCTGAGTCCAGCTCTTCCTCCTCTGCCTTGTTGGGAAATGCTGCGTGGTCTCCTGCATCCTCCTGGGGCTCGGCGGGCGGCTGCCGGGAAATGCTCTCGGCCGTCGGGGGGCTCGGCTCCTCCGCGGGGCTGGGCTCCTCCGCGGGGCTCGGCTCCTCCGCGGGGCTCGGCTCCTCCGCGGGGCTCGGCTCTTCCGCGGGGCTCGGCTCCTCCGCCGCCTTCTCCCGCTGCTCGGCAGCCGCTTCCTTCTGCTCCTCGACCGCCCCGACCTCCTCCACCGGCAGCCGTCCCTTCGCGGCCTCCGGCCCCGCTCCCGCCGCCGCTTGGTGCCCGGGGCCGCTCTCCCGGGCCGCTTCAGCAGCCGCCGGCTCCCGGGGCCGCTCCCCCTCGGGTCCCCGCAGCCTCACGAAGATGGAGAGTAGGGTGAGGGCCAGGACGGTGAAGAGCAGCCGGACGGCCAGGTACAAGTCCACGGCCACGTCCGTCCCGCCCTGCTGCTGGAGCCCGCCCGTATTACAAGCCATTGCCATAAAGCACAGTGAGACAAGAACCTTAGCCCAGGCCCCATACTTGATAAACACTAACACAGCAAATACCGGCTCTACGTAAGTTACAACATTCTGAAGCTAGGTGCTTTGCAGTCTTTCAGAAAATACCCCCACACAACACTTTCTCCAGCAAAAGAGATAACCTTTTTTTTAATTCTAAAGGAGAAATCCAGATGTTCCAAATGGAAGGTACATGTCTTCTAGATATGATGCTGTGTGTAGCTTGTGGCACAGGTTCACAGACTGGACTTTTGAGCGTGAAGAAAACAGAAGCTACATCTTACTGATGCATCCAGACTGACAAAACATGCTTTGCTGGAATTCCTCTGCTCAGCCAACGGCTCGTAGAGAGCATGTATCTTCTCCAGTGGGAGGTCTTGTACCATGCTGTTAAAGGATGCTGCTATACACTTATTTAGGCTACCCAGAGGGATTAATTTATCATTTTTTTCTTATTCTTGCTGCTGTAGACCCTGTCTTTTGGTTATTTCTGAGCACTGTAGTAGAACCAGAGAGCTGGAGGATCTCCAGTTAGGTTTGTGTTTTCACCACCAGTCCCTAGGGTGAGGAATTCAGCAGGGCTGTTGCTAAAGAGCAGCAGCTTCCATAACAAAAAGTAGAGGAAAACCAAAACCTCGTTCCAAAACATACTGCATGCAGCAGGCCTTGTCCTCAGTAGACTTCTCTTTAAAATCCAGTGAGGAGGTATGTCTTGCAGTTACCCTGGAAGTGAGTAATTTGGGAATTTCTGACATAAATAAAATCACAGTGAGCAGTTCTAGAAATGGCTTGATTTTTTTTACATGCTGGCAAGTCATTCGTATTCCTGCAAGGGTCAATATGCCTTCCCACAGAGCAACAGTGAGCCGTGTTTTAATATAAAGTAGCCTCTTCTTTTTCTAAAAGATGAATGAAGGAGACATTTGAACACTGACATTTTATACAGTCTCTTGTATTCAGTTTTGGAATACCTGCTCTCTCTTTTGGCCTCCGACATTCCCTCTGCATGGCTCCTCTACTACTTCCAATATGAGTCTAATAAAAAACACTCCCCAAGAGCTGGTCTCTTGCCTTCAGCTGCAGTGCGAGGGGGTGTGCATGGCTGAGGATGACTGTCTGTCTTCATTCCATGTCTGTGCCACAGCCAAAACCCAGCAAGGTGAGGACGAAGGGAGAGGAGCAGCGTGAGCAAGGCAGAGAGCTCTGAGAGCATCATGTCACTTGAGTGGAGCTAAACACTGCCCTGTGAATGCAGCACAGCCCTTCCCTACATGCTCTCTCCCAGGCAGGGCTGTGTGTCCCGCAGGAACAGGGGTTTCGCCAAGGACACAGCCCATCTCAACACTCCCCTTTGCAGTGCACACAGGTGGCTTCTCTGAAGGGTGTAGCCAGAAACGCAGATGCTCTGCATGACCTTTGCCATGGGTTAAATGCCACAGACAAGTCCCCCGGAACACCAACAGTTAAGGAGAGAGAATCGCAAATTACAGTCTGAAAGACTCCTAGAATCCTGGAAGTCGGGGACCTCTTTGAATAGGAACCTTGAGATGTTATGGGATGTGCTCTGGTGACGAAGCTTGTGCTCGCTGCTCGGGGGACCCACAGAGAAAAGGCTGAGTGGGAGGAGGGCTCAGGACTCACCCTGCTCCCCTGGGACAAGCCCTGTCTCAACGGGTCTCCCAGAGCTGCCCTGGGACACGACCTTCCCTCAACCCTCAGGTGTCACGCAGCAGGCAGGAGCACACAGACAGGGGCTGTCCCTGGCTTGGACAGGAAGAACTGGTGAGATGAAGCTCCACTCTTGGGCCCAGGACCTTGCTGCTCTCCCCGCAGACCCCAGCGCAGGGGGTCAGCCATGGGTGGGGGAGTGTCGTGGTTTAAACCCAGTCAGACAGCTTTTTCACTCACTTCCCCCCCCTTCTTGCTCTCCCCCTACTCCCGGAGGGACAGAGAGGAGAATCGAAAAGAATGCAACTCCCACGGGTTGAGATAAGAACAGTTTAGTAACTAAGGGATAACACAGATCACTGCTGCTACCACCAATAACAACAATGATAAAGGAAATAACAAGGGAAGAGAATACATCACCTCACCACCAGCCGACCGATAACTCACCCCCCAGGCCCAACCAAGCACCGACCCATACCTCCTCCCACCCTGCAGTCCCAGCCCTTCCGGCTAACTCCCAGTTACATCCTGGGCATGACGTGCTGTGCTATGGAATACCTCTTTGGTCAGTTTGGGTCAGGTGTCCTGTCTCTGCTTCCTCCAGGCTTCCCTTCCTCCCTGGCAGAGCATGAGGCTCACAAAGTCCTTGGCCAAACCAAAACATCGCTATCAGCTCTGTTCCCAGGCCGAAAGTCAAAACACAGCACTGCACCAGCTACCAAGAAGGAGAAAAATGACTGCTACTGCTGAACCCAGGACAGGGAGTAAGGGGGAAAAGCCTGGCAGATGTGCCCCATGGAGGGGAGCCACTGAACATGGGCAACCGAACCTTGCCTGCTTCTTCCATGCTGTGCTGTGACCGATCTCCTCATACACGGCCTCAGGGAAGGGCTCCCAAGCTCTCCCAGAGCTTCTGGACAGTGGCAGAACTGTCCCAGAACAGGCAGAGAGGGGACAGGAACCCACTCTGCTCCCCCAGCTTTGGTCCTTTGGGCATTGCCTTAGCAGAGGGAAGTGACAAAGTCCCACAGCGTGCAGCCGAGAACTGGGGAACCCTCTGGCCCAGGCAGCTGCTGCCATTGTGGACACAAAAGCTGTGCTGCCCAGGAGGGTCCCGTCATGCAGGGGCTGGCAGATGGACACATAGTGGTTGTAGGGCGTGATGGTGAGAAGATAAAACTCGTCTGTGTTTGAGGAGAGAAAGAAAAAGACCTGGGCAGCACATCCCAGGAAGAAGGTGGCCCTGGTGTTCCAGAGGGACCTGGCAATGGGTTTAGTGACAGTGGTGGACATGGAGCACAGGTCCAGCAGGGGGAGGTCGAGGAGGAAGAAGTACATGGGGTGTGAAGGCACTGGTTGCAGGCTGTGGTGGTGATGAGGAGTTCGTTGCCCAGGAGTACAGTCAGGTAGATGCCGAGGAAGAGTCAGACATCCAAGAGCTGCAGCTCCCACGTGCCTGCAAATGGCAGGAGGAGGAAGTGGGTGACGGAGCTGCCACTGGACATTTGCTTGATCCTCTTATGGGGGGCTTTCCAAAAGGGAAAAGACAGTGACAATTTAGGGGAGAATTCTCTGGGTGAAACCTGATGCATTTCTCACAGAGCACCCTGAAACTGCCTCTTCTCTGGTTTCAGGAAGACTTTTGGCAGGTCCCTTCCATGAGCTCTGGTTGGTGCAGGCTGAGGGTGTCCCTGGAAGGAGGGGGCTCTGCTGGGGCTCTGGCAGAGCCAGTCCTGCCCTCCAGCAGTAAGGAAAGAGGAACACGGCAGGAGCGCGTATGGGGGTGTTGTGTCAAATGAAATTCACACGAGGTATCAAAGAGCTTTTCAGAAGATCTCACCTGTCCATCAGCTTTGGTCTCAGCTGCCCTGCGCTGCCTCTTTCAGCAGGGAGATGACTTCACCCAGGCTGCTCCAACTCGCAGCCCCTGGGGTGCAGGGACCCTACTTGGAATGACAACCCTGGGTACCCCTGGCTGCACAGCTGGCTGCACACCCCTGAAACCGCCCCCGGGAGAAGGCAGGCATCACACACACCCCTTTGATGGTGCACTGGGGAAATCCAATGCTTCTCCAGCCCCGCTACTGGGAAATTAAAAGAAGAAGCTCACAAGCCCCTGGCAGCCCCAAGGAGCTGTCCCAAGGATTGTGGGTGACCCACATCCGCTGCCTGCAGGCTGCCCTGTAGCCCTGTCAGCGGGTGCTCCTACCCATCCCCCAATGGACCTTCCTGCACACCTTACTTTAGAGACAGATCCTCTACACCACTCTGATCTGACAAACCATTTATCCCTCCTCCCCCATTTCTCTTTTTTATTTGTGTTCTTTTTCTTCTGTGGTTTCAGCTGAGGTTTTCTTGTTGTGCCATCTTTCCATGAACCTGCACTCGATAAATGCAGGTGTAGGCTGTGTTTCCCCAGTTGCTCTTCACAATAAGTTTGATGTGTGCAAAGGCTCTGTGCGTGTTCTGTGAAGAGAGTGACAAGAAAACTGAGGTGTTAAGTGTGACGGTGCAATTGACGTTTCTCCCGCTGCCCGCCCTGCTCCTGCTCAGGAACAAGCTTCCAGAAGTGGGTAGGAGTGGCTGTAGGCATCTGAGGCTCACTGCTGGTACCAGGGCTCCTGCAGAGACTGGAGGCACGGGAAGGGAGAAGACAGCCTCTGGAACCTGGCCTGCTGGGGACTGCGCCTCCCTTCCCTTTGCCCCTTTCCCTCTGCAGCTTGCTGTGTGCTGACAGAGAGGCTGGGGAGGTCCTCCTATGCGTGAGACAGTTGGTGTGAAAGCCCATTAAGCTCCCGCTATGCTCTCTGCCTGCCTTCCTCCTGGCAGGTGTGAGGGCACCAGGAGAAAAGGGACGTGTTGTGCTGGGAGGAAAGGACACTGTCCAGCCTGTCAGCAGGCCACAGGGTGGAGCGACAATGCTGCCCGGCAGCTTTCCCCACCAGGCATCCCTATTTCTCCTGGCACGAAGATGTTGCTTTGGTGGAGAGGCCATGTGTGCAGCTGGCTCTGCTGAAGGCAGCAGCTGCAGCCAGGGGTCTCTCAGGACTTAAGCTCCCACAGGAACAACCCTGCCCTTGCAAACCTGTTGCTGCTACCCCCACCGCATGCTACTCAGTCCTCCCAGCTCCACCAGGCCTCCTCGGCAGTGGTCTGGGCCCCTGCGCCAGGGGAGAGAGCATTCACGCTCTTCCTGCCACGGACTTGCAGGCACTGCTGGTTTTCTCCTGGGCATCTTGCCTTCATGCATAGACTGTACCTTCAGAGGGAAGGTTTGAATAGCCTCTTTTGCCACGTTGTACACGAACATCCCAAGGAGAGTTTCCTCTTCTCTGTCTGCATTCAATCCCTCAAGGGAAAAGCACAAGGAGGAAGGAGAGAAGCTCAGACTTGTCCCGGCAAAGAGGATGTTTGTATGTGCTGGATCAGCATATACTGCATGGGCTGTTACCTACTGAGCCTCTCCTGGGGCTCTAGCAGTAGTTAAGCACTGTCTCCACCTTGTGTTTTATTCAAGAGCCCTGAGGTGCTCTCACCAGAATGAGTCTTGAGAGGGATGGAACCCCTAGAGCCCCTGAAGTATCCTGCAAGTGCACTGCAGGGCTTAGGAGAAAGCAGGACACAAATCTCCAAGGACTTGCTTGCACAAAGCTTGCACAAAGCAAGCAAGTTCCAGTCACGGCTTTGCCCCAGGGCCACGTGCCAGCCA